TGTAACGTTATTGAAAGAACGCCACATTCTTGACGTTTTTTGTATCCAGCATTGGAAGGTGCTAATCGTACAAATTGCCCTTTTCAATTTCATCGACGTTGGATTGGCATGGTGGAAATTTTCTACAATCGTCACTTGCGTCCAAAAATCTTCTTCTTCTTGGACGTGCTGGGGGGGCTCAGCTTCTTGCTGCCTTTTGTGTGCACTTTGGCCTCCCCTTGCGGCACTTTGTACTCGGGATGCGTCCCCTTGACATTGAACGTCCACTGCATTTCGTCGGTCTGCACGACCAATTGCCCCGAGCACATCTTGCCGTACCCCGTGGGGGTGAACGCGATCGTAAAGGGCGTGCCTTCTGTCCCGTACGGGGCCAGCATCCCTTCGACAGGGTACACCTACGAACGAGACATGATGTTGGAGGCCATAGCCACCGGGTACCGTGAACGCTTGCGACGACCCGGGGGTAAACTCGGCTTGGAACGGTGTCGCTTCCCGGAATTGGTTGGACAATTTGAACGAGACACTCGACGTTTGATTCAGAGCCGACTCAATCGTGAGGACGTCGTCGACGACGGGATCGGACGCGTCCAAGTGGATGTCAAACCGCCACAGTCCCCCCGACCTCTTCTTGACGACCAATGCCACGGCCAGTCGGATCGGCTTAAGTGGATCGAATCGCACCTATGCGTTGACAACGTGAGCCCACGGGCATGCTGTTGCAAGACGTGCCAGGTACTCCAACGGCGTTGTGACGGACGAGATGCTGTCCACGAGTGGAGTGACCGTCAGCGTGCGTTCGACAACGCGAGCGTGTGGCTCTGGAATGTCCCATTCGATCGTAAAGCGCTCGTCGGGGGTCACTTTTTCCAGCGCGAGCAATTCCAAGCTCAGTTTCTTCTCACACGACTCTCGCGCGCGGCACACAAAGGAATGGGATCGCGGGTTTGGTGGAGCCTGGGCAATGCCCTAGTCGCGACGACAAGATCGAGTTAGACGAGTCGCCGATCTCGGCAACGTACTCGAATTGGATACACCCATTCGAGCTCCTTGTCGCCCTTGATGATGATCTGCGCCCCCGCTTCCGACACAAAGTGGGGCGAAAACGAAATTGGCACTGCCACGACACGAGTTGGTACAATCCGTTGAGTGGATCGTACCTTGAAGTGTTCCAAAGCCCTCCAACGTCACCTTGGGCTTCTTGAGCAAAATATCAAACACTGGAGGAGGCGCCGTCTGCGGACGTTGACGCTGCCGGCTCATCCCCGTCGGACTGTGCCCAGCTTGGCTACCACTCGTTCCAGGGGGGCGGTCGCTGCCGCCATGCCAACCACCCTGAGTTGAAATGAATCTGGGAAGGAGCTACGTACGGGATGCCTTTGTCGGGGTGGCCGAGCTGCACCATGGTAACGTCGACAGTTAGAGCGTCCGGGAACGGATTCCGGAACGAGAAGAGGGAGCTCGCTGCTTCGCCGACAGTTGCGTGCACCTGCACACGCACAAGATTGTGAGCACCAGACAAATCCCAACACAATTTACGTTCGACTTACGAGGGTCGTTTTCATCAAGCTCGGTGGCTTGCCCTTTCCTTGGACCTTGTACTCCCAAGTCCCCACGTCTGGGTGGACAAACTGAATCTCGGCGCATTCAAAGTCGGCCAAACTGCTCGGGATGTAGTCGAGGATGGCAGTGTAGGTACTCAAGGGCTTCACCACGATGTTCTCGTCTCGGATGCGGAAGTTTCGCGTGTTGCTGAGCACGATGTCGAGCGCAATGGGGGTGTCCATCGGATTGGTGATCGTGATGGGCTGGGATACAACGTCCCCCACAGCGCACTGCATGTCTTCTAGCTGAATCGGGGGGGCAGGAGTCGCATGGAGGTTTAGTAGGTAAGAAAACTCGCCGACGTCGTCGTTTGTAAATCCAATGGACCCTGTCGTGTTGCCGGGTAAGAGTGGCGAGTACAGAAGCTGATAGATTCCTGTTTGCTGTGCCTCCAACGCAAACTGCGTTGGACCAAAGAGCCCGTTGCCCTTGAGCGCGATGTCAAAGACGACGGCGCGATCGAGCGGGTTCTCCAAACTGATCTCCATCCCCACCATGGATCGCACTGTCGTCGTCATTTCGAGAGTCGACTCGGGGCTTGGTGGCGTCACCGTCGCTTCGATCGTGTACCAGCAGTACTCTTTTGTCCGCGTGTTTGTAAACGTGATGCTCCCAAAGTACGTTCCCCCGATCAGCGGGTTGAACGTGAGTTTGTACAGCGCCGTGACGTTCGGCCCTGGCAGCACCAGTTGGGACGCGCCCCCGACGTAAGGCAGATCGGATTCGACAGTGAACGTGAACGGTCCAGCAGGGTCGTTCTTGAACGTTTGCACTTCGAATTCATGGACCAAGCTTTGTCGTGCTTGGCACTGCAGCACGACATGCTCCATCGCAAGTGGCTCTTCTCCAATGCCGCTCAGCCCAAATTCAAAGTCCTGGCCCGTCTTGGCATTTTGCAAAAGCAACAACCCAGTCTCGGCCACGAGCCACTGCGGCTTGAACGTCAGCGAGTACGTGTTGGTCTTCTTGGGCGGGATGCTCAACGTCGTCGGGCCCGTAAACACGCCGGACGAACTATTCCACATGCACGTCAGTCAGTCTAGCACGCGCACAAACGATGGCGAGCGCCGTACCATGTCAAATTCGCTCGCAAGTTCCACGTTTCGTCCGTCGGGTTGATGATGGGAATGTCTTGCACAATCGTTTGGCGGGCGGGGGCACAAAACTCCAACATGGTTCGAATGCCAACGTCCGTCACCTTGGCGTGGATTTCGTACACGCGGATGTCGCAGCCACACGATGCCGTCGATCGCAAGAGGACTTTGCAGTTGTACAGCCCCGCCCCACGCGGCTGAAAGTCCAGCATCAAGCTTGTCGGAGATGACAGCGTCCCTCGTGGTGTGATCAACTTGGCTTGGTTTGCCGTTTTCTTGTCCCCATCATGGTTGCTCGGCGTGGTGGACGTCCCGCCACTTTTCAGCGTCACTTCGGAGTTTTGCAAAACAAAATACGGCGAGTTCACTTCCGCATGAAACGTTGTGTGGTGGCAGTCTTCGCATTTACGCAACCCATCCCGCACCTTGGCCTTGACAAGGCCCTAAAGCGTCGCCATGCAGCGCGTGAGGAAGTGGCAGGGGAATATTGCCACATGAGCATCGCATACACTACAAGCACCTGGAATCGGTCGACGACGACGGCGAGCGCTTTGTTTAGGAGAGGATTTCGGGCGGGCACAATCAATTCCTTGAGCATGTGGGGCTTGTTGTCGCTCGTGATCTCGAGCGTCTCGAGCGTCGGGGGCAAATGCGCCGTACAATGCAGCTCGTACATGAATTCGCCGACGTTTTCGTCGAGAAAGAGCAGCTGGCACTTGTACACGCCCGGATTGAGCGGCAAGAACTCGACTTTTACCGTCGTGTTGCCGTCTTTTCGAATCGCAACCATGTCGCCGACGACGTCGGGCAAGAAGAACGGAAGCTGGCCATCCATGCACGCGTTGTCGTCGGTCGTGTCCTTGATGGATTTGTGCGGCAACTCGCTTGTCGACGGCTGCTGCAGCATGGTCAACTTGTACACGGCGTTCACGGGGAATTGGTTCTCGATTACAATGTCCTCGACCTTTCGGTCGTACATGCTCGTCTCGAACTGAAACACGCGAATCGGTTTTCGCGAGTAGATGTTGGATTCGAGCAAAAACACCATCGTGGCGGCGCACGTCGGGCCGTCGCGCAAGCTGCGAAACGTGAGGCGGGCTTGCACCGTTCGCGTAAACTTGGGCGTGAAATCCACGAGAAAGCTCTGGCTCTTCTCTGGCTCTAGCGTCAACGTGTGGCTGTAGATGCTAAATTCTTTCACTTGGCCTTCCAAGAACACGTCGTACACAATCGTTTTCTTGCTTGGGTTCTTGAGCTCGATCGACTTTTGAATCGTTTGACCGAGGACGCCCTTGAACTCGATCGTTGTCTTCGGGATGAACTGGGGCACGTTCTGGTACAAGTGTAAGAGCAACAGAACCGTGGACGGCAGGCTAAGGTTGCACAACTGGTCGGCGGGGACCCCGTAGTCCATACCGAGGCACGAGAGGGCATTGCGCAGGCACGTTGCGTTGTCGAGACAATGCTCGGCGGACGTCGGCTTTCGATTGAATCCGTGGAGCGGGCCCCCGTCGACGGCTAGCGTCGGGACATGCGATGCTAGCACATAACACAGGACGACACCGTCTTTCAGATCATGTTCCAAGTCCATGATGAGCCGCGGTTCCGCCACAGTGGCCATGCGTTTCGAGTGGTGCAACAGCCACTGGATCAAGACCATCTCGGATTCCGAGTACACGTTGCTCTTGGTGCAGTCTCGCATCTACGTCGAGAGCGTGCCACAGATCAATCGGAAACAATTCATAGTGGTCCATACCACAACGTCGGTGGGGAGTTTGGTGGCGGGGTCGACAATGCCTGGCAGCGCCGCGTACGCCTTGGTCGAAATGCGAAACAAAACAAAGCACTTGATGATTTGAAAAATCACTTTGGTCCATGCCAGGCACGACACGCGATGCCATTCTTTCTCAAAGTAGAGCCGACGGTGAAGCTGGTTCTTGTCGTCGTCCTCGCTCCATCGGACGTACTGCTCGCTGTCCAAGAGTTGCTCTGGTCGAACATCGTTCAGCAGCGCGCCGTACGATTTGAGAAAACGCAGCAACTCGACGTATTGCGCGACCATTTGGGTGCCTTGTTCGCGTTTGTTTGTCGACAGCTGCTTGACTCGACCTGGCACAGCCTTGCCGCACACTGCTTCGAGCATCTCGTACACGGGGCGTCCGGCGTTTTGAACCTAATGTTCGCGCCAAGTTCAATTCACATCGATTGGAAAGAACGGTACTAGATCATGGGGAAATGCCGTCATGGGCGTTTTGAGAATATTCATGTTGAGCCACTTCATGAGCAGCGCCAGCTCGTCGACTTTGGGCTCGTGGATGTGAGGCATGTGCAGGAGCTTTCCAGTGACTTCGACGGCGGCAGGCACAGGTTGGATGGGGACGGCGGCCGGTTGCTTCTCTTTGGGGGCCACCATCTTCTTTTTGGCCTTTTTTTGCTTGTCGTCGTCCGGTTTGGTCGCGACCGGAGGGGCGGGCAACGCTTTTTTCGACAGGACTTTGATGTGGGTCTTTTCCAAAAAGTACACTGGGTACCGCTGGTCGGCGTCGGTGAAGAACCCAAACTCGTTGCGGTGCGCCTCGACGAATCCAAAGTTAGTCAGGATGCAATTGTCCGTCGCCCCGGAGAGAGGCAGGTCGAACTGATTGCCCTCGACGTCAAAAAACTCGAGCTTGGCGTTGAACGCGATGCTCTTTGTCGACACAAAACTGATGTCGACTTGAACCTTGGGATTTGCAATTCCAATCGACTTGCCGTCTGGAAACGTCACCGCGATCGGGACGCGGGATAAATCGATCGGGAGCCGGTAGCTCAGCTCCAAATTGTCGTACCTAACGGCATGCGTGTGACGCTCGCCCGACGTTCGAGTCACGTACCCCGTGCTGCAAATGAAAAACGTGGCCGTGGACGTGATGCCAAGGGGGACTGTCGGCAAGTCGACTCGCGCAACACTAAAGCTCAAGTGTGGGTGGATTCCTTTCCCAACCAACGAGAGCGTCACATAAGGCACGTCGTCCAGCAGCACAGGCACTTCTGCCGTGTACTCGATCGCGTCCGTGGGGAGAAAGCTGGCTCGCACGGTGCACTTGTCGCCTGACGCCAGTTCGCCAGCCTGCAGTGCATCGCGTGAGTCGTTGGGACATCCACAGGAGGGGTAAAGAAGGTAGTATACCGATGGTGCAATGTGAAACACGCTCTTCTTCGACTTGAGCTTGGACAAGTCGATGCACCACTTGACGGTTTGCGGGTCGTCGTTGGTTAAAGTGAGCCCCATCGAGTACGGGATCTTGCGCACGTTGTCGCGGGTTATCACGCGCTTCTCAAAGTCCAGTGTCGAGCTAGAAAACAGCATGCGGGGCTTCAAGCCGGTCGCCAGGACGGTGCGATGTAGCGCTTCCGTGCGTGCGGGGACCCCCTCCAAATGGATTGGAAATGCAAATGAGTGAGTCATGATTCGCTCGGGGCGAAAGAGAAAGTGAAATTTGAGCGTCGTAGTCGGTGGCACGATGAGCTGCCACTTGGAAGGAGGGTCGACATCTGCCGGGACAAAAATCGCATGCACTTCGTCTTGGACGTCTGGGTTCAGGTGTACCGGCATCGCCAATTGGAATTCCGGCGCATGAGACGAGAAATCCAGCGCGAGGTGGGCTGGCACGGGCGACGGATTCGTCACCGACAGCTCCCGCGTCACCAGCACCCCCATCGTCACCCCGCCAAAGTCGAATTGTTCCGGTGGCGTGTTGAAACACACGTTCGGGAGCACCACGTCAGCCGAAATAGGGACTCGAATTGTACGCCCGCCTCGAATCTTAATCTCCAGAACGACTCTACGCCACCCGTTTGAACGAACGATCACTTTGTCGAGTACAATACCCTTCCAAGGCAACGGCGCGGGCGACGTCGAGCACGACGCAGAGCTCAACCGTTTCCCCGGGCATGAGTGCGCCGATGGGAGGTCGGACGACGAGACCGGTGGTGGCAGGTTCGATGTCGGCGTAGTACACCGTCGCTGCCGCGATGTTTTGATTCGAAATAAGCACCTTCTTCTCTTTCGGAATGCCGGCGGCAATCGTGCCAAACTCGACTCGTTTCTCGCGCGCTACGCATTTGGGTTCGACCATGTGGCCGACGCAATGGAGGTGGGCCGGTTTCCCTGCATGCAATCGTGAGCCATGGGATGCCACCAGACAAAGTACCTCCGTCGACCGACACAACCATGGTGGCTTGATTCGGCAAGTTGTAGCGGGGACAGAACGCAATGCGGATGTGGCAGCTGCCACCGGGTGCGATAGTCCCTTGCTTTGGAGTCGCTTCGAAAGCACACTCCACCGGGGGATGGTGCGGCTCGGGCGCCCAGCTGAACTTGGCCTCCGAGTTGCCTGGGTTCTTGACCACGAGCTGCTGGGCGACGTCAGGGTTGAGATCGCTCGCGTCAAAGGCAAACTCGAGCACTGGCGTCGACAACTCCACGCGAATCGGGACGACTTCGGCCGTCACGAGGAGCTTGAACGAGTGCTGGCCATTGATTGTGTAGTTGACGTACTTTTGAAACACTTGCTCGACGCGCGAGAAAAAGGTAAAGTCAAAGCCAGCAGTCGCCCCCGTTGGGATCACTTGCGACAACGGCGTCGTCTGCTGGAGCTCGTCGTGATCGTTGGCCAAATGAACGTGGACTGAAATGTTGTGCGGGAGGTCGTTCGTGACACTAAACGACTTTTTCGACACCGAGTGCACGCAAACTTTTCCAAAATTGATTGTCTTGGGGCCTACACGACATCGCTGTCACGGCCCTCTACTGGCGACAACCACACGAATGCCACGAACCTGCCACGATCAGCTTGAGTTGCTCGGATGTGAGGGTCGTCGCACAGTCCTTGACTTCTGCCTGCGTCACGGGCAGCGGCTTAAATTTCTTTTTGATGATTTTGTTGTCATCGAATGGCGACGACGACGCTCCGCCTGACCCGCGACGGTTGCCCAGCGAACTTTGCATCCACAGTGGTTCGGTTGCAACGGGGAGTTTGCAATCCGGGCCGTCGATGCCCCCTTGCGGCGTCATGCCGAGGTCGATCGGGTTGGACGGACGCTGATTTGATTTGTCTTGCTTCGTCAAGCGGTCGTGGCGGTATTGGCGCAAGATCGAGTTGTATCCGTCGCGGTGGTGCGACCTCTCGGCCAGTTCGTTGACGCAGTACGTCAAGTGTGTGTTGTTCGTCCCTTGGAACTCATACTCGTCGACGGCAGCAGTGCCTGCCAACACACAAACGTGAATGAATCAAGCAGCCCCGCCAACCTACCTTCTCGCGCGGCCACTTCGAACGGCGGGATGCGGTGGAACGCGGGTTTGGGAGCAAGCTTTTGCGTCTTGATGTCGTCGACCGTCATAAAGTTAAACTTGGGGCGGAAGTCGTTTGGAAGCGTGTCGAGGCCACCGACGAGTTGCTTCTTGGGCCCTACATTCGTGGCTGTGCCCCTTACGTGAATCGGAAGGATGAGGCTGCCGCCCTGAACGTCCAAATGGAACGTTGTCTACCAGCCCAACACGCCGTCACGGCGACGAAAGCGATGACTCCAACGTGTACCTGAAATCGCCCGAGCTGACTTGGGGCAAAGCTAACAACAATATTCTGGGACTGGAGAACATCGAGACGGCCCTTGGACGGATGCGCGGCAAAGTGCGCGAGTTTGTCGAGTTTAAATGTCACGGGTAGCATCGCCTCGTTCTTAATGTTGAGGATCATGTCGACGCGGGCGCCGGACGCGCAGTCCCCAAAGTCGAACGAGTCGGGCGTTGTCACGACATGTGGGACCACAGCCTGTGCTTACCGCCATCAATGAATACGTTCCAAGCGGAGTTCAACTGTACCGCGCCAGATATTTCAATCGCCAGGCTTTGCTTGATCTCGGAACACTCAATCGATGCAAACGCTTTCAAGTGGTGGGTGCTTCCGTCACTGGTTCCCATGGGCACTCTGCTGCTCGTGTACCCCTGCCGCTGTCCCTTTGCCTTACTTGATAGCGCATTGTTCGGTTTGAACACAAACGTCAACAGCGCCGACGCGTACGGCGGAACCATGCCTTCGCTTGGCAGCACCGTCAGCTCCTTCTTCTTTTCGTCCATTTCACTGTCGTCCTCAGGATTCGATCTACGCAATACCCCGTCAGCACCACGCGGTGTCGGAGGTGACCCCACGACGTACAAGTCGTCTCCAACGCGAAATGGCCGTCCCGAGAACGAAATGCCGGTTTGGTATCCGATGGGATGTGGCCCGTTGTTGCGCAGGATAGTCTCGAGCTTGCGTGTTTCGCCGCAGTAGAGAGACCCAAACGACAAAACGCGGACCGGGTCAGGAGGCAGTCCTTCGGCAGCTGGGAACACGAGCTCAATGTTATGTTCCACGACGACCGCGCTGATGTCGAGGAGGTACTGTTTGTCATTTCCTGAGTGAATGGTTGCGATTGCCCGATATGCTCCCATCTCGCGGCCGTTGAATTCAACTTTCAAGCGTGTTTCGGAGCGCGGTGGAATGGTACCGTCCTTGGGAATGACCACAACAGGGTGACCGGGCTCTAGTTCTACTCGAAACGAGCACTCTTTTGCACCCGTGTTACGCACGTTGACATATTTGGCCGTTCGATTCGAGAGAACAACCATGCCAAGGTCCACCAACGACTCGAATTCAAGTTGCGGAGCAGGACGCTTGGCCACCTAGCAGCGCACGTGAAGATCAAGTCGCGTTTGGAATGGTTGAACTTGCCAGTGGAATTTCAATCGGGGTGCTGTTCTCGGCGAGGACATGGATTTTGTCGTGCAAGTCGATCGGTACTTGCTCGTCCAGCTCCATGAGAAATGCCACGTCAAACTTGACCGAGAGACCGGGGGATATCGTTCTCGTGGGGTTTGCCACCAGACCGAGATCTTGATTGTCGAAAAGCAGTCGAAAGTGCTTGGACGTTGGTGCGGTCACTCGAAACCGAACGACATGACGACTTGTGTTCTGTATCGACAGCGACACGAGATAGCACGTCATGGGCTCGATGTCCACGAACTCGACTGTTGTCGGAAATGCTTGGACCAGAGTCGGCCGGAGCGGCGCCGTTGTGGGCCTCGTTGACATGAGGGTGCGCCGCGCGCCGGTAAAGATATCGCGCCGTGACGGTTCAAGCCAAAGGTCATCGTTATCCGTACAAAACTGTATATCCGGTCAATGCGAATTTACACCAGCTCCAATTTGTGTGACCCCAAAGGACAAAGACGAGTTAGCGCAGATTTGAGTCACTGAGTTGCTTCCCACGATCTCACGGCATGGAGATTACTGCAAAGATGTGATTTGGGCATGCGTCAAGTCTGACAACGCTGAGTGTTTTGATGTGGTGGCGCGGCAGTGTAGGTCGTGAGCGTACAGTCTGGAAATTCCTCTGGTGTCATACGGATAGCCGGATAACCACACATGTTGCAGCAGGTGGCAAAGCAGTGTTTTAACCGGATGATATCGTGGAAGTGGGTCATTCAGCAAAAAGCTACGGAAGGACGAGAGCAACATGGGAAAGATCATCGATCGATTGATGGAGCTCGAGAAGACGGGCTCGCCAAGCGTCAGCTTTGAGTTCTTCCCTGCGAAAACGGAAGATGGTGTGTTCAACCTGCTGAATCGCGTGGAGGAAATGGGGTTCCAGCTTCAGCCAACCTTTGTCACTCTCACGTGGCGCAGCGCATTCAAAGACGAAAAGTTGTGGCTTAAAATTGGGTCGCACATTCAAAATGAATTCAAGATCGACGTGTTGATGCACTTGACGTGCCATTTGCCGCGTGACCAATTGCGAGAAATCCTTAAGAACGTCCGGGCCGCTGGGATCCGAAACATCTTGGCCCTGCGTGGCGACCCGCCCATCGGGTCGGAACGATGGAAGCCTGTGCCTGGCGGATTCCACAACGCGGTGGAGTTGATTCGGTTCATTCGCGAAGAACATGGCGACTGGTTTTGCATTGCCGCCGCCGGGTACTCCGAAGTCCACTCTGAAGCGTGGAATAACCCGAACTTGCCGCCGTCGGACCAAGCTCGCCAGTTGGATATGATCCGGTTGAAGGAGAAGCAAGACGCTGGCGCTGACTTCATCATAACCCAGTTCTTCTTTGACGTGGACAAATTGCTCCAATGGATTCGCGACTGCCGTCAACTGGGCATATCGATCCCGATTTTGCCGGGGTAAAGCTGCCGCTCTTCCACCGTCCTTGGCATCATACCTTGCCGTCGTAGGTACTTGCCCATTCAAACGCACAACTCGTTCCTCAAGTTTACCAACTGGTGCAAAACGAGCGTGCCGCCACAAGTCCAAGAGGCCCTCGTGTCGATCAAGAACGATGATGCGGCCGTCAAAAAGTACGGGATCCAACTGGCCGTGGACACATGCAAAAAGCTCATCGCCAACAAGTTGTCTCTGCATTTCTACACCATGTACGTGCTCGAGCGCGTTGGAACCAAATGGATTGTACGTGGATGAGTTCATTAGGAACTTGGCGAGAACTGTGCGCGCGGTGCTCGAAGGACTGCACTTGATCGAGCGCGAGCGCGGGTTGCCTTGGGGAGCTCCCATCATGCGCAACAAAGACGGGTCGTTGGAGAAGAGCATCGAACAAGTGAATCGTCCTGTGGTGCAACCGTGAGCTCACACACCTTATCTAGGTGCGCCCGATCTTTTGGTCGAACCGTGCGTCGAGTTACATTGCGCGCACGTCCGAATGGGACGACTTTCCCAACGGACGGTGGGGAGACCGCACGAGCCCGGCCTATGGTGAATTATCGGAATACTATTTGGCGTACAAACGCCCCAAGGTCGCGCGCGACCAGGTCCGTCCACTGGATTCGATTCGGTGACGACTCGGATCGATCGAACCGTCTGTGGTAGCTGTGGGGTCGCCCACAAACCGAAGAGGATGTGTGGAACGTATTTGTCAAGTTCATTGAAGGCAGCGTGAAGCAGGTGTCGCATGGCGAGATCGTCGGAAGGATCCGTGGAGCATCGCCTGACGCTGTGTCTGGTTTTAGTTGCCATGGTGCGAACAAGGTTTGTCGGGAGAAAGCACCATCATCCGCGAAAACTTGCGCTGGATCAACTCGATGGGGTTCTTGACCATCAACAGTCAACCTCGCATCAACGGTGCGCCGTCCGAGGACCCGAGCGTCGGCTGGGGCGGCAAAGACGGGTTTGTCTTCCAAAAGGCCTACGTCGAATTCTTCGTCCCTCCGCGCCTCATGCAGCGCTTGGTGGTATGTTGATGCAATCCACTTTGCTCATGATGGTGCTAACGTCATGTGCAGGTGGCCCTGGCAGACTACCCGAACCTGTCGTACCATGCTTTTAGCGCCAACGGTATACAACTAGTGCAGCGCAGTTGCGTGGCTTGACAGTGTGTGTTGTGGATTAGGAACGGAATACACCAACTCTCCTGGACCCAGTGTGACGGCTGTCACGTGGGGGGTGTTTCCTGGCAAAGAAATCATCCAAGTAAAACAGACATACACGACTTGGTGTGGCTCATTTGCACGATAGCCGACAGTTGTTGACACGGCCAGTTTTGCCGCATGGAAGGACGAAGCGTTCGAGCTATGGCTGAGTCAGGTATGAATCGAGTTGTGTTTGTGGACGCAGGGACTGCACCCGTTCTTGTGTGCAGTGGGCGTCTGCGTATGAACCAGAGACGGTGTCGCATCAATTGATCAAGGTACCGTCGATCGCATTTGCGTCCTTCTCCGCCTTCCTCGAAACGATGATGCCGTTCGATGGTGTAGCGCATATACGACAGCTACGTCCTCGTGAACGTCGTGGACAACGATTACACGAATGGTATGACGCATCGCGTCGGCAGTCGTGTTGAACTCGTTGTGGCACAGAGGACAGCGACATCTTCAAGATCTTCGCCCAAGTCATCACGGAAAGCATGACGAAGGACGACTTGCGTCAACGTGTACTCGAGCTCGAAGGCAAGAACGAAAAGCTGCACGAAACGGTGGCCAAGTTGAAAATCATCCAGGTGCGCAGTCCACGCCTCGTGGCGGAACTTGTGACGATTCTTTTTCCCATGTAGGCCGAGGCCAACCGTGAATTGAAAGACTTGCATGGAGACCTGTCGTCGTCGCGCGAAGAGAATAGCCGTCTCAAGGCCCAACTGCGCGACCTTCGCTCGCGGTTGGCGATGGCCGAACTGTAAACAGGCGCAACGTTATCTAGTGGTCTCGCCTTGTCGTTGACCGTGCTCCATGCTGACCGCGCTCTCTGGACAAATAATTGCTAACATGACCACGATTTCTTGCGTCGCTTCCGTCCGTCCGACAAGTGCTTGCATGGAGATTTCCACTTCACCCGCCCTGGTTCAACTGCATTATGTCGTCACGCAGGTCCATGCCAACCGCAGCTCGTTTGGCGCCTGCATTAGCACGATACAATACTGGTGCCGCCGCGAAACGTCGCGACTGTTCTCTATTTCGAAGCCAACCCGTCATGGAATATTTCGTGGAGCACTTTCGACATTTACATTGCACACCAGCCGAAAATGGACGAACCGCCACCGCTATGCTCGCTGTCGATGCTGGAGGAAGTAGACAACCAGCGCAATGATGAGACGAGTGTGATGGACGAAATGCTTGCGGTTGCCACACGTGCCAAAGCCATCAAAGATGCAGCAAAACGTGCCGACGAACGGAAGCGGAATCAAACGTTTGGTGGTGGTCTCAAGAAGGGGTTCTTTCGTCAAGCAAAGCCGCCCAAGAAGGAAGTGGCCACGGTGGCACCACCGGACATTCCCACGATCCGGCGCAACCCTGCCAAGGAGTCGCTCCATATCCCTGAAGTCCACGCTGCAATGAACCAGATGCAAAACCTCAAGCCGGATGGTTCGTCCCTCCACGAATCTTTCCTCACTCGTCCAATGTCTCATGGTGGCCATCCACAGACTGGATGACCCCCGCTTTCTTCGAGAAGCTCGCGCAAAATCCCAAGCTGTGCCAAGGTATGCCCACCTCAACCACGTTGCATAGCGCCGTCCCTCATGCGAACATTGCTTGCCAGCGATGCAAAACCCCCGTTTTACAGCAGCCATCCAAGAAATGTCGAGCAACCCGACGTCCGCCATGCTCAAGTACCAAGTACGTGCAGCGAGCAAAATGTTTTTGCATGACGGTGGTGCTATTTGTATAGAGCGACCCACACTTTGGCGCAATCTTCAAAGACTTTCTCGAGTTCATGGGCCAACATTTCGAAGAGGTTCGTGCGTCAGCGCCTATGGTGCCTGTGCCAAACATGAGCCGTAGCTTGGCAAGATCGAAGAGGAGAAATCCAAACCGCCGACGAAGCAGGACATTCAACGCGCTGCACTGACGTCGATGCCCACGACTCCGGATGAGGAGGTCGTGGTCCAGCGCGTCCTTGCCGACCCCGAGCTCCAGGAAATCTTGAGCGACGCAGATATGCAACGTGTGCTTCGCGCGTGTCAGCAGCCGGGAGTCCTGTCAACGTTTATGAAGGACCCAGTGTATGGACCCAAGATTCAAAAGCTCGTCCGGGCTGGCCTCGTGCAATTGCATCCGTAACACATTCGACGATGCAAGTCTAAACATCACAAACAAGTTGACCTTTCTTCTCGTGCCGTTCCCGGCATATCTGCGTCGATGCATACAAGGTACCGCGTCCCATGGAAAGGCTGGCATGGGAGAACACTCTACAAGCAGTACCCGTCTGGGCCAACGATGCCATTGCCACCCGCAATTCGAAAGCATTTCGTGGATGGAAATACGGCCAAGAAGTTGGACACGAGCGAGAACACCAAGCTGCACCCACACACAACAAGCACGAGGGCGCCGGCGACGGAGCTCGTGACGCCTCGACGCTTGAGTTCTTGCAGTTGGGGCTTTTGCGGTGGCAGCAGCACGAGGGGAACTAGGGCCACGAGTTTACAGCCGTAGGAGATTGCGTACACGCTTGTGACGTCCCACCGCACCGCGTCCGAGTCGGTCTTGATATCGTTTTGGGCCACGAAAAAGTACGAATCGATGTATTTGTACACGGCGGACGACAGGGGGTACGTCAAATTGGCCAGCGACGTGAGCAAACCGTACGTGGCGCCTTCCGTCCCGACGTCCGCCATCTCGACGGCGCAAAACGATCCGATGATCATGATCATTCCGTTTGGAATTTGTTCCGACATCGTGACCCCCGCGAAGAACCACTGATTGCGAACAACGTCCCAAGTCGTGCACAGGATGACGGTGGCGTCAAGGACCAAGATAGACACGTTGGCCGCGACAAGACTCCACCGCCAGTTCCAGTGCAAGCCATACCGTCCAACAAAAAGCAGCGCCGCACAAAAGAGAGCGTTCCCGACCATCGTGGACAAGGCGTCCGTGAGAGGCGCCACGTTGGCCCATGTCGCCTTGATGGGGTACAGCGGCGTGGCCGTGATCGTCCGAAAGAACCCGTTGAGAAACTTAAAGAAACAAACTTGCCACATGGCTTGTTGCTGGAGCAACGACCAGAACCCTCGCCACCACGACGTAAACGTGATGGGAGCACTTGCAATGGAGCCCTCGCGGACGAGGACGATGGCGGCCACGGCGGCCATCAGACACGGCACCAACGAAATCGCGTACGGGACGTTAGGCGACACTGAAAAGGAAAACGTTCCGTTGTACTGGATGCCATTCAGCCCAAAAGCTGTCACGAGCAAGGCCGGGATGCCACAGAGGTATCGGGTGGTAAACGACGCCGTCTGTACCCGGCCTCGCAACGCCAACGGCTCGCGCTGCGCATACTGAATGATCATGGCGTCGGAAGCACACTCGGCAATGATGTAACCGATGGAGGCAACCATCGACAGAAGAATGAAGAGCGAGCCTTGGTCCGGCGCGTCAAGATTGAAGTGGGCCCGTCGTTCCGCTTCGGGCACCTTGGCGAGAGGCACGCGACAGTATTTGCTAGCTTGGCGGTTGCAATACGGCGCGCCAACCGGTAGAAACGCCATGATTGCCAAGCTGACAAAGCAAACGGACCACCCAAGAACCATCCACGACTTGCGGCGGTATCCGAGGATGGGCACACAGTCGGATAACATGCCAAAGTTGACTTTGAAGGACCAGCCGAGGGATACGAGCACGCCGTACGACGCTGTCTGGTACCCTTCCATTTGCAAGTACACATTGAAAATGGGGTAGTTGAGAGCCGGCAGGAGCGTGAAGATGAACCCGACGGCACCGAATTGGGCAAGCAACCCGAGAATCTCGAGCGAGTTGAGTGGCTGGGGACCACCAGGGAGTAGAGCGTCCCCTTCGAATGGTGTCGAGCTGGTCGCCTTGACCAGAGGCACACTCTCCTCGAGCACGTGCTGCGGATCCATTGCCCACTCGCAATAAGGTCGATGGGTAGTGTGTGCATCATAATGTGTCCGTCCACTATGATTGGACGAAACGCATATAGTGTAGGTTTACTACAGTCGCAATGAATTCGATGCATCTCATCGAAAGTTGGCGGACTCGGACATGCTACGCCCCTGACCCCATTGCCCCCGGCGAGTCGACAGCGCTTGGTTGATGCCAAGATGACCAGACGACATGACCGAAAGCACCATCCTGCTACCACACACGACGAGAACGAAGTCTCCCGCCACGGCATGTGGAGCTCTCCGATTTGCTTCAACCTCTGTATCTAAACCTTATGGGCAACTACACAAGCCGAACAGCGCGAGAAGCTTACGCCCATACGAAGTCAAGTAGATGGCGGTCACGTCCCGCCACCCGGCATCCGTATCAATCGCGATGTCGGTGTGGCTCACGTGGAAGAGTGAGTCGATCTACACATCAATTCAAGCTTTATGGCATGGCGTTCCAGTGGGCGGGGTCTTCCATCGACGCGAGCGAGTCTAGGAGTGGGGATGCGTTGGCCCAGCACGACTTTTGCAAGCCGAAGTCGTAAATCGGGTGCATAAGCCCCTTGAGAAGCGTCAAGAGGAAATCCTCGATTGTCGAGGCAGGTCCTTCGGTGGGGGCATTCAGTTCGAGCAGGTCGATTGCTTTGTTGAACACAGCGCCGCCTTGAGCATTTGTCGTGACCGTATTGCCGTACAAACTGCCCCTGATGTCCAGCACGAGCTTCTTCGGAGGCAAGGGTTTGTCTTACGACCGCTGGATGTCCTCAACTTGCGGTGACGTCGAAGAGTGGCCATGTCCATGCGTTGTAGGGGCTTTCCCCTTGGTTTGGCATCGGGGGACGCAGGTTTCCCTCCAACGTCGTGTCCCGCCTTGCCTGGTGTCGACCCTGCTGTCATGTCCGCGAAGTCTAGCGCTTTATTGACATGGATGGTCGGCTTGACTCCATTTCACACTTGGCAGTTTCCAAGTGCGCCCACAACGCAACGAGCGGTCTTTCCAACTCATCCTGAAATGCTGTCGCCAACTGGAATGCCCGATGGACGTGCTTTCGAAGGTGCGACTCGAGCAGGAGCAGCACGACGTTGCATGCAAAGAGGCACATGTCTTGGATCAGTCTTAACCACTTGGTAGCCCCCAGCAATCGCTCTATTCAGCCACACACACTGTTGAAACATGGAAGCAACGCCCTGGCGCATTCCACATGTCGCGCTTGCCCAAATGAACAGCATTGGGCTGGTCCGCTGAGGCAGTCTTCGCATGGGCGGGAGTCTGTCTAGATGCCCTCTGTTGACCGGGGGCAGTGGGGTTGTAGCTGGACCAGCCGCTCCAGTCTGAGCAAGCTTGTCGGGTTCAAGGGCGAGGAGGCATCGACGAAGGTTGGTCATGTTGCGGTCGTGGGAGTTGAGCCACTACTAGTGCCCACGGCGTGCTCGCGCGTTTTGACAATGTCGTGGGTGGAGGCACTGCTCAGCGACAAAGCCCCCGTCGACAATGTCTTTCCACTCAGTAGAGCCGAATCAACGGTTTGTTTCGATGCCAATGTTCCCCCTGCTCCAGGAGCCTGCCTGCCATCATGAGGAATGTCGTGCCCGATGGCTTCAACTTTTACGCCTGTTGTGGCAGCAAACAAGTCAAGAGGGGCGGTTCGATGATGCCTTGGCAAAAGTCGAGAGCAGTCGCTCCTCCAGGTAACAATGCACCGTTTTCAATCTCCATCTCGCATCGGTCCGTTGACGCGATTAGCAACGTCGCCTCGCCTGCCGCCTTCGTGCAAACATGTTGTGGTCGTGTCGCCGTTGCAACCTTTTCGGCACGTGCAATCGACACCCATGCCATCCCATCAAAGGGCACAATGCAACCGCACCCCTTCCTCCGCGCTTCTCCCCATGGTATATCGCCGAACTTCGACAGAGGTACACTGGAATCCAACCACACATTGAGCCCGCAGCACTTCCCGAACCCACCGCGGCAGTTGTCATGGACGTTTTCAAGCTGCTTGGATATCACGTTAATAGCTACTAACTATCTTCGACACAACACGTAGTACTACTACTCAGTACAACGTGCTTTGTAGCTCGGGGTGGAGCTGACGTTTGGAGAAGGGTCCCATATCGAATGTACGATCGGGGCCTTGAGTCTCTTCACCCTGGGACATCCAGTGAACTCCATGGGTTGTATTCTGGTAACTCTGGTAGCGGTTCTTTGTCGAAGCGTTGACACCATCGCCGTGTGTCCGGCTCGGCGGCAAATCCGACAAAAACAATCGTTTACAATCGCGATGTACTTCATCCCGCGACTAGACATTGATACGCCTCAAGCAAACTGAAAGGCATCAGCGTTGCATGTGACCGTTCGATGGACAGGATGCATACCCCACGTGAGGATGTACAATTTTCTTGGTTGAGTGCTGGCAGCGAATCATGGCAACACCAGAGCATGTACAGCGTATGCCAAGGGCAATTCGCCACAGCAAGTGTACAACATTATGTCGCTTCATTAGAAATAGCGTTCCCATGGCCACTGGTACGACAACACAACGGTGAAGCCCCACCCGGACGCAGCGCACACGATGCACGTCCACAGCGGATACGGGCCAGTCCACGCGCTCCACAAAGCCATAGCGCAAACGACATCGATGACGTGCAGAAAGAGCCGACCCTTCAGTCCCAACGGCGGGATTCCTTCTTGGACGGCAGTAACATGTGCCATCGCGTCGGTGGCAAGTTGAGGTTGGTGCCGCTATACCTTTGAAAATGCATACCACATAGTCAAACCTTATACATAACATGTGTCAAGTCTTATCCTTGTGGTTGGTCAGCACTACCTAGCATCCATCACAAGGGACCCATGCATTCAATAAGCCGAACAAACCCATGTAGCTACTTTTTTGACGGTACGTAAGAGCTCAAGCGCCTCTCCTCCAAGTCGAACAAAGTCACATGCAGACACTAAAGCGTGACACGAGAGTGTAGGGTTTCGGTTTCACTGTCCTTGGGTTACACAGGGCCTCCTGCAGTCATGACACGATGGCAGGACCACCTAGCTCTCCTTCCCCGACTCGCATCGTCCTCGTTTTTCATCACGCAGCACGCTCGTGTGAAAGTGGACGGCTCAGGGGCACGCCGGATATTTACCGGATGGTGGCGTTTCTGAGGTACGATGTTCGTTCCTGAGCAGTTACAAGTTGAACCACTTGCCGACTGCTCGTGGCAGGACATGGCAGGGGATAAAGCGGCTGTGGTTGCGCCGGTGCTGGATGCGGCACCTCCACGCAAGGCACGCCGCGACGAGTCGCTTAATCCAAACAACGTACGTTCGATGGACTCTGTCGCCAGTACGCTCACGTGATGGTGGCAGTACCCCGCGACAACCCTCGGGATATTTTCATTACAGAATCGCTTTCGGCGCTTTTGCATGGCCACAATGGACAGTCAAAGCTTTGGGGTCCTCGTTATGGTTGCTGTCTTGGTCAACACGTTTGCCATGAGCTTTGCCAACTACAATTCCCCCGCCGTTGGGTCGTCGTCACCTCCAGATCGAACCGGCTACATCATTAACCTGGTGCGCAGTCGTGTTTGAGCGAATATGTGGCGCGGTCACTGGTCTTGCGATCTCTTAACGGTTGATGGACTAGATCGAAAGCACCACACTCGTCGTGTTCATCGTTGAAGCGTGCATGCGCATCGTGGCTCAAGGCGTCACCGGGCGCAACTCGTACTTTCAAGACAACTGGAACATCCTCGATTTTGTTGTGATCGTGACTGGGTGCGCCTTGCTGTGCGGCTGCGTTCGTGACATGTGAACTGTAGAATTGTGATCCTGGTTTACCACGAAACGTCCAGCTTGTCTGGCATTCGGTGCCTGCGAATCCTGCGTCCACTCCGCACGCTGCGTTCTTTTCCAGGTAAAATTGTTTGCAAAGCCAGCCAAGATGGCGTGCATGGATGAATGCGATGGCGACTAGGGCTACGCACACTCGTAAACTCCCTCTTGTCCGCGCTACCGGCGCTTGCAAACGTGGCCATTCTGTTGTGCTTCTGCTACACAGTGTTTGCGATTCTTGGGATGGGTATTTGGAGTGGGCTGTACCATGGGCGGTGCAGGCTTACCGAGTTTCCCGTGCGGCTCAACTTCACCGCAGCGAACGCTTCGTGGAACTACAAATACCCCGACGCTGACTGGGTCGCCACGATCCTCGCCGATCCAGGTGCGTACAAGTGCCACGACACGTGGGACGTCGACAGCTTGTGGACAACCCCGCAAAACTGTTTCTGGCCCATCGATCCCACCGATACGGTTGGGCAGCTATGCGGCGCCCGGTCGTGCCGAAGCGGTACCACGTGTGGCTCCAACTACGACAGCAAAGGGAACCCTCGTTTCCAAGACATTCGCGTGAATGGCAAGATCGCCTACTCTATTATGGATGAAGCGGACTACACCGACAACTTAAACTTTGGGCTGACTTCGTTTGACAATATCGGAAGCAGCCTCGTGATTGTACTGCAAACGGTGACAGCGTCGGGGTGGATGGCACTTGTGAGCAATGTCAGTGCAGACGCTATTCCATGCATCGCATGCTGACTAGACTGCATAGACGCAAGACAGCTTTTCATGGGTCGGTGCCGGCGTCTACTTCCACGTCGTCCTCTTCTTCGGCATGTGCTTCCTTCTTCAAATCAACATGGCCATCATGGTGTCGGCATTTGAAGTGTCGAAAGTGGGAACTCCTGCGACAGAAGCGACCCAAATCTCCACCGAGTACGTCAACACATTGCCACATCGACGCAGTCACTTTCCTCACCTCGGCCACAGGTCCACGTCATCAACGTTGAAGCGGCGGGTCCTCGCGAGACTTCCTCGGACCGTTTGGTACGCGATACGCCACACGTCTTTACCTTCGTCTTGATTCCCACGTTTGCCCTCACCGCTTCATTCGTGTGGTACAGCATCAAGATCAAGCAAGCCCAAGCGGACGTGTGCAATTCGCGGTGTGGACAGACGTACCACGCGTTTCGGCGACGCCTGCTGAAAATTCTCCAAACCAAATCATTCCACCGGGTCAGCTTTACCTTCACCTTGGTCAACATTGGGACGTTGGCCTTGCATCAGCATCCGATGCCACCTGGATTGAGCAGCGCGTACCTCGAGATCATTCAGTTTGTGTGTCTTGGCTTTTTTCTCATCGAGCTCATCATGCAAATGTCGGCTCACGGCCCTCGCGAATTTCTTCGGTACGACCACCGAAAATAACAAACTGGCTCCGCCATGCCTTGCTCGACCGCGATCGACCGTTCGCACTCATCTGCGTGGATGCATGCAGGTCCGGACTGAATGTGTTTGATTTTCTATCCATCGTGATCGGAGTCGCCGACATCGTGAGCAACCCGCCGGCCTTCATCGACGGCACGATTGCCAACAGCAACCCGTTCATTGCGTTACGTGCGTTGCGCGCTGTCAAGTTGGCGCAGTCGTGGCGACCGTTGAAGCGCCTCATGCTCGCCATCGGTCGCACCATGAGCGAGTTCCTCAACTTTTTGTTTTTTCTCGTCGTGTTTGTCTACATCTTTGCGCTTCTTGGGATGGAGGTAAGCACACATCATCAATCCTTCCGTCTATCGGGTGGACGCCACGCCTCACGCACTGCGCATTAGCTCTTTGCCAACAGGTTTTACTTTGACGCGAACAAACGCCCGCTGGTCAACAACGGAACGCTGTCGCCGATATTTCGCCACCGGTCGCACTTCGACACGATCGACGCCGCGCTCTTTACGGTGTTTCAAGTCATTACGTACGACAACTGGCCTGCCATCATGTACGACGGGTGGCTCGCCGTGGGGGTGGCGTCCCCCGTGTACTTCATCAGCATCATTGTACTTGGTGTGTGGGTTGTCATGAATATGTTCTCGGCTATCACGGTCAACTCTGTCATGGACGCTGTCGAGTCGGACCCGGCATCCGAAATGAAGCGATCGTTGTCCAAGATGCGGTACCTGGAACGGAGTGTGAGTCGCCTCGAGCTCGGGCCGGACACCGTGAAGCAGCAACCTGTCTCGAAAACCAAAAGCGAGTATGCGCTGCGGACGCAACACCCGCTCCGGTACGCGTGCCTCGAACTCACAAGGAGCAAGGCGTGGACAATGTTTATCATTTTCGTCATTGGCACGGCATCGATCGTGACCGCGTTTGAAACGCCATTGATGGACCCGCACGTTGGCATGGGCCAGCTCATGGACGATATCAATCGCGTGTTTGCCGTCCTGTTTTCGGTGGAAATGGCCATCGAGCTGACCGCAAATGGTGTCGCCAAATACCTCATGGACCCATGGAAGGTACGATCGCCGTATCGCTTGACCGTAACCTGGTTGAATCGATAATTGTCATTTTCTAGGTGCTGGATGCGTTGATCACGGGTGTGTCGCTCATGGCATGGACGGGGACTCCTCAAGCCGTGGGTGGGATGAACTTTGGCGTGATTCGATCCTTTCGGTGCCTGCGAGCCTTGCGGCCGCTGCGGGTGATCAACCAGCTGCCACAGCTCAAGGTTGTGGTCAACACCCTTTTTCGCTGTGTCCCTGACATTGGAAAAGCGCTCTTGTTCTTGCTCTTTAGTCTGTTTATGTTTGGGATCGTGAGCGTGTTGTTCTATCAAGGCGGTATGAGCTCGTGCTCGATCAGCCCGTACAACTACCTCCAGCACCCGAGCTACACGCCGGTGCCACCGTGGTTCCCCCCCGACTACATTGGCAACTACTCCATGGCGGATCTCGAGAAATGGGACGTCATGACGTTTCCGAAATCATGGGCCGACATGGACGATGCGACGAGGCTAGTCATGGCGGGCGTATGGCATTCGACATGCCCTTTCACGGACCAAGAGGCCGCCGACCCCTCGTTCATTCCCACTTCTAAGCAAATGTGTCTGTGCTTTTCGCTCTCGTGGAAGTCGGTCGTGCCCCAGAGCTTTGACAACGTCATCGTCGCGATGGCATCGCTGTACGAGCTCACGACGATGGAAGGGTGGGCGAACGTCGCGTTTGCCGCCGCCGATTGCACCGGCATCGACAGTCAGCCATTGCCCAACTATTCGCCGTTCATGCTCGTGTTTTGGGTCACGTTCATGGTGTTCTGCGCGTTTTTCATGACAAATCTGTTCCTGGGGATCCTCTGCGACAGCTTCATTCGGGAAAAGTACGGCGGGTTCCTCACAGACGACCAGATCAAGTGGGTCAACTTTCAGCGCAAGCTCATCGCGATCGAGCCATTCCAGAAGATCCCGCGCCCGACCACGCCGCTCCGGCGATGGGCGTTTGACTTGGTTCAATGCGAAGGTTTCGACATTGCCATCACCGTTGGCATTCTCCTCAACATGGTGGCCCTTGCCATCTCGTACAACGGGCAAGACCCAACGATGGACCTTGCTCTGAACGCGATCAACTATGCGTTCTCGCTCGTGTTTCTGTTTGAGGCAGTGCTGAAGCTATTCGCGGTCGGCCCGCGGCACTACTTTAGTCGGGGGTGGGACTGCTTCGACTTCTTCATCCTCATGATTACAATCGTTTCGACGATCTTGCCATTTACGGGGTCCGACAAACAGCTCAACCTCGGTGGCGGCTCCATGGTTGTCCGCGTGTTCCGCGTCGGGCGCGCCTTGCGCTTGATCAACAAGGCAAAGTTGATGCGCAGCCTCTTCGACACAATCATCATTGCACTACCGGCCGTGGGGAACGTCACCGGCCTCCTCATGCTCATGTACTACATCTTTGCCGCGGTGGGGGTCCAGCTTTTCGCCAAGGTCGGGTATGGCACCGAGCTCCTCAACCGGCACCAAAACTTTCGCACGTTTTGGCTGGCACTTCAAACTCTGATCGGGTTCTCGACGGGCGAAAACTGGGACAACTTTATGTGGGAGCTGTACGCGGTGTCGCCCGAGTCGAATCCGACGTGTGCCGACCCAACCTACAACAGCTCGATGTGCGGGTTCATTGACGACCTCGAGGGCTGTGAGCCGCTCAATGGTTGTGGTACGACCGCTCCTGTCCACACACTTTACATCACCGTTCGTCCTCGTCAGGTTCATGGATGATCGTGCCGTTTATGTATTTGTTTGAGCTGGTCGTGGGCTACATCGGACTCAACCTGTTTTCGGGTGCGCCGCCGTAGGTATCATTCGTTCTCTCAGCGTGCCACGTCATAGGGATCTTGGTCGATGCGGTGGCCGACGCGGACGCCGCAACATCGTCGGTCGTGATGGATTTACAAGACTTTGCCCGGCTTTGGTCGGAGTTTGATCCGAAGGGGACTTGTCGGATCGAGCTGGATGAACTCACGCTCATTCTCAAACAAATGCAACCGCCCTTGGGGTACAACGGAGTGCCTGGCTACACGTTTCATCGAGTGCGGAAGGAGCTCGGTTCGTGGAATGCCCACCATCTCAAAACGACACCCACGAAAACACCCCTAACGCAGGTGATCTTTCATGTGTAGGCTCGACAGGTGTCATGGTGTACGACCGCAAGTTCGTGCATTTCCGGGAAATTCCCCGCGCGCTCGCCCTTCGCGCCGTCAGCAAGGTACAGTAGAGCACTTTTCGCTTTGCGTATCAACAGCATGGATGGACAGGGTGATCCCGAAGCGTTTGCCGAGTTGAGTTTGATGCTAGACGACTTGGGCATTACGAAGGACTTCCATCGCGCGTGGAATCGGCGGTATCGAAAAGGCGCCGACACACTTGTACGGATGGAACCGACGGCCCCCATCCACTTGCACGTGGCAGGACTACTGATTGCTGGATGGCATCGCCGCCGCAAACGCCGCCAGCTTCTGCGCCAACACTCGTTTCGGGCAGACGACGACTTGGACGAAGTCACGTTGGTTCTCCAAGACCTGTGCAACGCTGTCATGTTACGTGCAGAGCATAGTCGCGGTGGATAATGGCTGAGCCACACGTCGTTCACGTTAACTCACGCTTATTTATCATGGAGCTTGCGCTTGTAAAACACAACGTTGCCCGTGTCTTCGACAAATTTGCAGTGCGAAAATGAACGCCACAACGCAAACGGGATCGGCGTCGGGTCCTTCAAGTAGTAGTCTCCCAGGAGCGGCACAATCGCCTTGGTCGCTTCCTCGGCGTTGTAGAACGGCATCTTCGAGAAGATGTGGTGCGTCACGTGGGTGTCGGCGATGTGATGGATGGCACCGTCAATCCATGACCCGAAAGAACGGTCCACCGTGCACAGCGCTCCGCGCAACCAGTTCCACTCGTCGCCGCGAAAGTGCGGGACGAAAGTGTCTGTGTGCTGGAGGTACGTGATCAGGACCAAGTACGCATTGCACACCATGTACGGGGCGAAGTAGAAATTCCACACGTTCACAATGCCGTAGGTGTAGATGGCAGACACGAGGAGGTACAGAGCGCCGAGGAAGCAAATATCGCTCCACCAAATGCTCAATCGTTCCTTGGGTAGAATGAATGCAGCGTAGGGGTTGAAGTGCGACTTGGGTTGACCTTCGTACTTGCTCGGTCCCGTCGCGTTAAAGAAGAGGTAACCAGGCATCCAACCCACAGTCAACATGAGGGTGATCTTGTACAGGTTGTAAAGCGGCGAGTCTTCCAAGAGCGAGTGGTCGCCCGCAGCCTCCACGTCCGAGCGTGTGTTGGGAACAAACACTTCGTCGTTCTCGCAGCTTCCTGTGTTCGAGTGGTGGCGGCGATGGGTGATTTTCCACGCATGGTACGGCACAAACAAGAGCGAGTGAAGCACGATACCCACAGCGTCGTTGACAAATTCCGAGTCCGAGAACGCTTGGTGCCCGCATTCGTGGGCGATTACCCAGATGCCCGTGAAGTACGTTCCCTGGACAAAGTAGTACACGATCCACGCCAAAGCCTTCACAGGGTAAGGCAATTCGGTCGCATTCACGTACAGCGCCACCCCAAAGATCGCGGCGCAGATGGCAATGTTGACGACAAGGTAGTAGAAACTCTTGACAAAGCTACGTTCAAAACAGTGCGCCGGAATCGCCGCACGGAGGTCCTTCAGAGTGATCGTGGGTGGCTCCAACGGGAGAGGATCCGGAGCACCGTCGACTTTGCGGTATCCTGCCGCCGTCAGCGTGTCCAGTTTGGTTGGACGGCTTTGGCACATTGTCGCGATTTTCCAAATGGGGAATATCCGCGCAACATTGGCTCATCAACTCGAAGGTACGGATTGTACGAGATACGATCAATAGAAAATCTAGTTTTGAACGTCCAGTTGGTACGTACAACATACGTCACCCGTACAATGTCTCGCGTCGAGCTTAAACGACATGACATCACGTATTTCGATGGTTGACATGGACCAATCAAATATCTCCAATTCAATATGGATCATTTTGATTGGTGTTTGAGTGGACAATGGCTAGTCTACGTTTAAGAGGCGTTGGGGCGGCATGGACTTGAGATTGCTTCTTGTGCCCCTAAACCTCGTTTTCCTTTAGGCGAGTGTACGATTATGTTGTTTGAAGGCGACGCCGTTCGCGTACGAGTATGCGAAATGACGATGGGGCGAAATACAAGCTGGTGGCGAGAGTACCATTGAATTAGCAAGCCAGTTTGATTGGTCGGCGTTTCGTAGCAGTTACATGTTGCGCAAAGGCGGTGGCAGTGAGTGCAAATGGCCTGCTACAGCACAAAAGTTTGTAGGTTGGATGGAATTCAACATGAGATTGTTGGCTAGATGGAATTTCAACATGAGTATGCAGCTTTGGCTTGTAGTAGACTCGACTCACGCGAGTCGAGGTAATCCTTCTTCGTTGCATAAGCAGCACTGAACAAAGGACTCGACGACGGACCACAGAGATTGAACGCTCCGAATCTGAGATCGTCGGTGAATGACTGTATTGCTGTTGAATGCGCAACGGAACGATACATCTGCAACGACTACGTCGTTGCAGATATTGTGATTTCACTCAGACTTTCTTTACAACATGTTGAAGAATTTTTCAATTGCACCAAAAGGCTCGATTCACAATAGTTACGCACAGGTGATGCAAAAAAATGCACAAGATCTACAGTACCTCCGTTCCGAAATGATTATATCGATCGACGTACTACATTTTTTAAAATTGACACACCAAATAATCCGCAGCACCGAAGCATCAGGTTCACCTTACGTGCTGTACAACATGCACAGTACAGGAGCAAAACACTCATTTCATAAGCAGATCATGCAATGCTGATGAGATATCGGTCGGTAAGTGTACAAACGCCAAAACGATCCATCGCGTTCATTCGGAGAGACCAGTCGGTTCTGTTTTTTTGTACGTTTGACTTGGATTGGCACGATGCATATAAAAAAGCAACTTTCTCAAAAATTAATTGGGCGAAATATCTTTTCCTTGATTGGCTGATTTCAGTGCGAGTGTGCAATAATGTACTCCGGAGTACAAGTTGACCAAGACAAGCAAAATTACACCCACAAGGTCCATCGTATGTGAATTTACACGTCCTTCTCTCGATGTCACTGAGAAGCCAACTTCCATACAGGGCATTCAGTGCGACGTCTAGCGTGTTTGTCTGCCATTGGCCAACGATTCATGCAGCTTGTACCGAGCTAAGCCATCAAAATCGTCGACATCGCGATTACAATGAATGTTACAACTTTCAAAAATTATTCGATCGTGTGCTTTGGTAGTAAATCTGGATGTAAACCAATATGACATGACCTTATGGTGAAATTTGAAAATGTTTTCGTTTGACGATACCTTCGAATAAGCGGGAATCATTTACTAGGGGCCCTCGTACATATTTTAGCGAAAAAAGGCAAGCATTCCTAATCAACAATTCTTATTGACAAACAAACGTGGAGTTTGCCCAGTCGATCCTCATGCTGACATCAAGTGGATCTATTCATTTACATCCACAACCACTGAATGGTTGACGAAACGTTGTTTGTCGTACTATGGTCCAGATGCGCTTTTTACGTTTTCAACGTCGAAGCCAGGCCAATTGCTCAGTCAAGTCTCAATCTTTCATAACGAAGGCAATTTTTCTCGAGGCTCTGTTCCGTCCTCGCAACGATCCGCACAAGTATACAACATTGGATGACAATATCGATATTTGGCCTTTCATTCCATGCCACCTCGCAGCATCAAGAAGCGAAACCCCTCCAAAATGTGTCATTGTCACAACCCCCGTTGCTGTCAACAGTGACGTCTACCTTGATGCGCTTTTCATCCATGCTGTTCTTGCAATCTAAGTAAAGTGTCCGATTGGCGATCGCGGCGATGTCACCGAACAAAGGCAACGCCAGTCCGTTTCGGAATGTGGCGATGGACATGATATTGCTTGGCGAAACATTCCAAGAATCAAAGTCTGCAGCACAACAGTTTACACATACAATCGAGGAAAATATTGATGCTGTAACAACTGCGGTTTATGGTTGCCAGTCGACAAGCTTTTCAAACTCGTCATCACTCTCCGAAATGTGAACGAGAGTTCATGGACATTCATGGGAGCAACGACTAGAAGCGTTCATCCATGCAAAAGGGCCAAACAAGAAGTGACTTGGTCCAATTTCAATTTGTCCACGTGCATTTGAATTGACACGGATGAGTACAATATGATGGATTCCCTCGCTTCATCGAGGCTAATCGTTTACAAACATCAAGATATTTTTATTCATTGGGCGAAGAGCACAATATTTTTGGACTCGAGTTCTCGATGAAAAATGTGCCAAATTGTAGCTCCGTGCCGTTTTCAAAGCCAAATATAGATTGGAGCCACGGTCAAAGGTCGCGCCTCGGCGATACGCGATGGGTTCCGTGCTCGGCAAGCTGCGGCGGCCAAGGCGGCTTCAATCCACCGCGACTCCTGTCGCGGAGGTCACCACAACTGCCGTAACACCGATGGACATGCTTGGGCCATCGACGCACCACCCAGACGGCTCGGTTTTGGATGTGTCGAGTGTGACGAGTACGGACATTGTGCACCCACTGCCACGACACAACAAGACGGCGAAACAGATCCTGAAGTCAGTCATATCTCCCAGTACACAAAACCTGCTGGCCGATGGCACAACTGCGGAAGATTTGCTCACGGTAAGCGTCCTAATCGTTCACGCCAGTAGTCTCAAGGCCACTTCGATGGTACATCCTACCAGGGCAACAAAACCAGCCAAGCGTTCTTGAACTACATTCGACACACAGAAGGGGGAATGAGCCGACAAAACAGCGTGATAGAAAATGCCCTCGTCTTCTGGATGACAGTGCGAGGTCGACACCATTCGTCGACGCACTGGACAAAAGTCTCATGCGTCGCGTTGTAGACTTGGACTTCGTTCCCGAAGGCATGTTTCGAACCTTTGTCATTGCCGGTGCGTACGAGAGCTACATCCAACCACACGCAAAGCGCGAGGTACTTGCTGCCCCGCTCGCCTCACAATTGCTCACGCGATTCATCCGCCAGGTTCCTGTCGTAAGTAACGTCGAGCGCGCGCAGCTCAAGATGTATGTGGATGAAGTGCAAATGGACCAAGCGACCACGTTGCTGCAGCAGATTTCCATGGATGTGCGTGCTCATTCCATGCCCTGGACTGTGGTGACGAACGATGCCAGGCACTGGAGCTCGTTCGCGAGTCGTTTGCGGCGTTTTTAAGAGACCGTGGACCGTATGGGTTCCGCGAGACAAGGCTGAACAATGGAACGCTGCCCAACTTCCCCTATGAAACCCAAGGCGAGCAGCGCGAGATCCTCGAAGATTTGCTCGAGCACCCGAGCAGTTGCCGTGCCTTTCGCGAGTACTTTCAGCGCATTGGCGGGTGTCCCGAATTTATGTTTCTTGTCGACGTGTTGGACTACAAAGACACGGTCCAAGCACTGCATCACGGTGCGTACACGCGATGGCACTGCATGCGGGATAATGATGTTATTGTGCTGGTAGAAAACATGACCCCCGAGAAGCAGCAGCTGCATGTGGGCTACACAATGCGAAAATTGCGCAAGATCTACAACAAGTACCTCAAGCACGGGTCCAAAGCCATGGTACGATCAGCGTGGTAGACTGTCCATGGCGACAACGTCCTCATCATTGTGCAGATTCAAATTCAAGAGCGGCTTCGGGAATCTATTTTGCTCGACATTGCCAAGAACCCGATCCCGTCCCTGGACGCGTTTGATGTCGCTATGAACAGTTGCTCCTACGTCGTCATTCTGGACCATCTCAACTTGTTCCTGCAATCCCCCGAGTACGAAGCGTCCAAGTCGCGGCGTGTCGAGCCTGAAATCCACGGTGAGTGCCCCTGGCATCTGCCACCGTGCTAACTATCCAGCAGGTGTGAAGGACTACTTCGTCCCAGCGAATGGTCTTCCCACCATGCCCGTTCCTTCGCTCCCCGTGATTGTCGGGGGATCGGGGTCAAAGTATTTTCGCAGCTTTCTGCGAGAACAAGGCGTCGAGTCCACGATGGACTTTTTCTTGGAAATCGAGCAGTTCAAGCTCTTGCCACATAACAAGAAGGGCTACATCGCTGCCATCGCTGGCAAAGTACGTGGGAACGGCATGTGTCGGGCATTTCGCTCACGATCCCGACGATAGATCTTCAAAAAGTACATTTGTCGTGGCGCCAAGCTCGAAGTGTACCTACCGTCACACATTCGCCGCAACATTCTCCAAGACATTGCCGATCCACAGGACAGCACGTTCAACGAAGCCAGCGAGTACGTGCTCGGCCTGTGGGAGCGCAAATATCTCAAGCCATTTCGGGCGTCGTCCTGGTTCAACGACATGCATTTGCACTACACCCGCGAACAGAAAGCACTCGACGGGTCCGAGCGCCAACGAGGGTATGTTGTGCTACAGAGCCTTGTGCCACACCCGGCATGACGCACGGCGTGTCGGTAGGGGGCAGCCTGCTGAGCGCGACGAGCCCATCTCGCAGGCGGCGTTCCGGGACATGCTGGCCCACGAAAACTCGGTGCAAATGACGCAGTTCCACAAGTTCCTCGTCAAGGAGAGCTGTGCGTCGTACCTGTTATTCTACAGCGAGATAGAAGAATTCAAGCGGTTGCCCAAGTCGGACTATTTGACGCGGCAAGCCAAGAAGATCTTTTACCGGTTCCTCGACTCGTCGGCAAAGGAGAGCGTGAGCTTGTCCATGGCCACCATCACCGAATTCAATGCGCACATGGAGAATCCATCGCCCGCCATGTTTCGAGCGGCCCAAGAAGAAGTGGTCAACTTTTTGTGGAAGGTGCTGTACCCGAAATTTGTCAAGTCGCCGTTTTACTGCGACCTCGCGACGATCAAAGAGATCGATCGCGCCAACAACAAGGCCGAGGGCAGTCGGGCGTCGAAAGGCGCGGGCATGATCCGCAAGGGCACCGTCGCGCCGTCCATGCTTTCCAAGCGAGGGTCGGCCGAGAACCTGCTCGCGCCGACTGAAATCACGATCGCCACCATCTTGGCCAACCACGACACACGGGCGATGCTTCTTGCGTTTTGCGAAGAAATGTGCGCGTTTGTCGTTGCGACCACGATCGATCTCACCCCATGTCGAACGTAGCTACTGCGCCGAGAGTTTGTACTTTTGGCTCGAATGCAACGAATACAAGAGCATCCCGCACGTCGACTACCTGCGCGTGCGGGCGCAAAAGATTTTTCGCAAGTACATCACAGACTCGGCCAAGCTCCAAGTCAACCTCGTCCATTCGATCGTGCGCGACATTGAAAAGAACATGGGGGCGCCGTCCCGAACCCTCTTTCTCAAGGTACATCGTCGCCGTCATGCTCGTGGTCACACGTCGTGCAGGCGCAAGAAGCGATTGTGTTCATGATGGGCAAAGACACGTTGCCCAAATTCAAGGCTTCCAAATACGTACGGCGCCGCCGCGACTCGAGGACACTGACGTCGTTCCTTTCCCTAGTACGATGCGTGCGTGCGAATACTTGCCGACGCCGTCAGATGAAGAGGACGAGAGAACATAACGTGTGGTTGTGCTTAGAGCAACAACGTGTTAGGACATTAGAACAGTAGATAACGAACATAAGCATGTCGCGCCTGTTCGGGCAATGACGGCAGTCACCATGTCTTTCTGTCCGGACGACGTCGATGGATGGTACGGTGTGAGCTACAACGAGACATTCACAGCATACGAGACATACAACGACGAAGGAAATGAACACGGACCAGCACGTGGTGCGAAGTGAGCCACTGCGTCATGGACGATCGGAACACAACGACGACAATGGCCCGGTGAACAGTTGCGATTCGCTTGAGAGCGAGACACGTAGATCGAATGTGGGCAAGCTCTACGGCATCATTCAGTGAAGCTGTGTGGCGAGCGGCGTCTGTACCATAGATGTCTGGATGGGGTGGGCACAACGACAGAGCGTCGACGAAAATACACCGAGTCGTGGACCATGAATCGATCTGGGACGGTTGTCAATCCAATATTCAAATCGTATCTCGTAGTGTGCATGCGTCGTACGGCAGCAAGAGTTGAAACAACGTGTGCGATGTCGGACATGCATGCAAGTTGGATGCGCGCTAATCGTTCGAGCATCTCGTCGTCGTCTGCAAGCATTGACGCCAAAGCCGCGGTAGTCGCAGAAAGCAATGGTGAAAGGATCAGGACTCGTTCACCCATCGCAGCTGCTGTTGCCGCGAGCATGTGGAAGAGTCGCATCGACGCAAGATGATCCCCCGACACGCCGTAGGTCGTTCCATGCTCGAGGGTGAACTGTGGTGCTTCCATGGTGGAATATGACAACAATTCCACTGGATTGGTTAAAAATACGGAAAACTCCCTAAATGTGATCATGCATTGGGTCAATACACCACAATTCCATTGTTTACAGCCAATTGAAACATAGAATCAAGACATCACGACTCCAACGCGATGGTTTCGATCACGGTCGACCGCCGTCGGCGGCGTTCTCGGTGGTGGTTCACTTTCCTCAAGAACGTGATGATGATGCGACTTGCCACCTATCACGGAACCCTCAATTGAAGGACATACAAGCGATTCCACGTACGACAAGCTTCACCGGTGTCTTCTCTCGCCCTGCGAGGGCCAGTACTTCGGCTTTCTTGTGCGTTCGCTTCCAAATCAAGTCGAATTCGTTGTCGATGCCAAGCCGCTGGACCAGCTCTGTGATCTCCTCAAAACGGCTTTTGCTCCCCTTACGATTTACATCCCATGCCCGTTAGAGAAACCTCGCTATGCACCGATGCCAACCTGGCTCAACACCCGCTGCACAAGCGCTCGCGGCACGTCCTTGAAATGAACCCATATTCGGTCGTACACGGGAATGCGAAGGTCCCCGATTGCCTTTTGAATGCGACGCGGCGTGAAGCCAGGAACACACTTGAACCCGAACGGAGGCGGCAGCTGCCCCAGCATCACGACCAGCTCCGGGATTCTGATAAATCCGGTCGCGAGGCGGTCGAACTCGGCCCACTTGGCTGCGAATGCTTCCAGTGCCTCCGGTGTGATGGGTGACTTTCCGTCGTCTCCGATGGCGTCCACAATGATGGCTAATCGAATACGGACGATACGAAATCTGGGCAGACAGACGTCCGTACCTGAAAACAAGTTGAGCCCAATGTACCCCACAATCAACGTGAACGCGTAGAAATACGGCACGATCAACCACGACGCTACGTCCGCCGCTCATGAGACTCCATCGCTCGACAATCAAGCGCCCTTACCGCAGCCGCTGTTGGGGCACCCGACATTGTACGCTTCCCACATGAACGTGTCCCAGTTTTCACCCGTCGAGAACCCGATCAGCATCTGGAACGCCGTCCAGAACGTTTGGAAGTTCTGGTGCGAGTTTACCATTTCCGGGCCGTCGTTGAGTTTGGCAAACAATTGAACCCCTAGCGCGGCAAAGATGTAATAGAGCAGCATGAGGAGCCCCATCACGTTGCCAACGGACGGAAGCGACACGACGACCGTGTTGAATAGCGACCGCATCAGCTTGGCCTTGTTGATCAAGCGCAGGGCGCGGCCGACGCGAAAGATACGAAAGACGGTGGCGCCGGCGGACACGGAACTGTTTTGGGGGAGCAACTCGGACACAGTCGTGAGCAGCACGACGGCAAAGTCAAATCGATTCGATCCCTGGCCAAAGTACAACGGACCGTACGCCGCGACCTTCAACGCAGCTTCGGCGGCAAACACGACCAGGCAGACGCGGCTGAGGAGAGACAGAGCTTGCGCCATCCACACTGGCTGGCTCGAATACGTCACCGTCATGCCGGCCATGTTGAGCAAGATGCACGAAATGATGGCGTACTCGAACTTCTTGTGACGAACAAGATAGAAGCACCACCGGCGCCACCGCGACGACGGCGGGTCGTAGTGCACCGTGATCGACAGCGACAAAACCTTGCGCTGGTCTTTGACCCAGTCGATCTGCTCGTCCGTGACCATGACCCCGTACTTTTCCCGCATGAACGCGTCGCACAACACTGCAATGAACATGTTGGTGACGAAGAACGCGCCAACTATCATGAACACGATCCAGTACAGCATGAACCAAGGCTGGTGGTTTGCCAGCGGCTGGGTGTCCGGCCCAGTCGCATCAATGCACGCGTTCGCAACGTTCGTCCATCCTTCAAATGTCGTGAGTTCGAAGAATGACATCATGGACTCGGCAATGTTGTCGAAGCGTTGCGGCACGAGGGGGCTCCACGACGTTTGCGGGCTAAAGCACGTGCAAATTTGCTTGGACGTCGGGACAAATTGCTGCTCCGCAAGCGACGCTTCCGTCATGTTGCATGTCGACGCCAGGAGCGCCTGGATCGACGGGTCGAGGAGAGACCAGTTGGTGGGGAACGTCATGATGTCGACCACTTGCAGCTCCGCCATCGTGTAATTCCCCGAGTAGTTGGACGGAAACCATGGCGGAGGGGGCGAGAACGTTGGGTGGTCGAGATACTGATATGGACTGATCGAGCATGTGTTGAGCGAACCCTTGAAGAAAATGACCCCGGGCACGGCAAACAAGAGCTGCATGAAGAAGAAGAAGACCAGAGACCGGCCAATGTCGGGGAGGCACTGAAAGAGCGTGTTGACGACAACCTTGAGCTGGGGCAGCTTGTTGATGACGCGGAGAGGTCGCAGCGCGCGCAAACTTCGCAGCGATCGAAGACCGCTGAGTGCCCCACCTGCGTCATTTCCAATCGCCCACGAGAGAAGCGACACGATCACGATGAAGAAATCGAGCACGCGCCACGGGTCGCGCAGGTACGTGCGGCGTCCGACAACCAACCCGAGCGCCACCACCGTCACGACCATTTCAAACGCAAACAACACGGCAAACAATTTGTTGGCAATTTCAACGAGCAAGCCAACACCCACCGCTGTGTCTTGGAGCGGCGAATCGATCGCTGTAAAAATGCACGACACTCCAATGCTGCCAAACATGGCCTTGTTCCAGAGCGGGTGAACGATCGCGGCCACGCACGCCTTGCGAATGGGATTCGTGTACGAAAACAAACCCAAACTTCTGCTCGTGTGGAGTTTCTTAACGGAAGCGCGGACACTGGTGGGCACAATTGCATTACGCCGGACTAGACGAGTACGTTAGAAGACTAAGGATCGACGGTGGCGCGACGAACATTTCGTTATGGCCAGCACCATCCGCATGGCTCGTTTGAGGCGAATCACAGCCAACCTACAACGGCGAGTCACGTGGGGGCTGCAGCATGGGTGAATGCACGTACGACGGGACAAGACTGCGCGCATCATCGTCGTTGACATCGCCGACTCCTTCCATGACAGAGTCCACCATGATGGCGCAAAACATACTCATGATAATCCACACGCCAAACACGACGATGCTGATAAAGTACACGGGGGCGATGGCTCCCGTGCTCAGCCATCCGTCGTACATGACGGACGGCCACTCGTCGTACGTGATAACTTGGAACACGGCCATGACAGCCTGGCGAATCGAGTCAAAGTTGGTGCGGCGCAGCGTTGCTGTCGGGTTCGTGTTGTTGAACGGGAGCGGGCGGCTGTCGCCGTCAAAATGAAATTTAGTCGCAAACAGCTACGCACAACAAGTCAAAACACGCGACAGTATTGCCGCGCATACCTCCATCCCCAGCAGCGCGTAAATGTAAATAAACATGAAGAGGAAGAAGAGAAAGTTGAGAATCTCGCTCATCGCGTCCATGATGGCCACCATGAGCCGATTCAAGCTCTTCCACGACCGAACAAACTTTAGCGCGCGAATGAGCCGGAACGTCGCGATCGGTGACGTGTTGCCGGGCGTCCCGTCGATGAAGCGCGGCGGATCGATGAAGAATTCCACAATGCCGGCCACGATCGTGAGCAAGTCGAACAGGTTGAACTTGTCCCTATGCCAGATTCAATTCCGACGACGGCAGCGTCGAGCAAGTAGGTCGTGTATACCCGAGGTACGACCTCGCCCCGCCCGCCACAAGTTTCACCGTCATTTCAAAAATAAAGTACGCGAGACAAACGGCATTGAGCACTTCGCTCCAGTGGTCGAACGACGGCTCGGATGGATAATGGTCGGAGCACAGCAGCAGAACGTTCACGGCTGTGACGCACGTTGCCATGGTTTGAAACCACTTGGACAGTGCAATGCTGAGTAAGACCTTTCGTAGCGAGATTGCGGTCCGACCGATGGCATGGGTCGAGTTTTCGCGGCGGAGCGTCTTGGCCTCGGTGAACTTTTGCGTTTTGAAAAAGTTGTCGATGGATTCTTTCCGCGTGATCATCGTGGCCTGTCGCCGAAACGCGGGTGGGATCGAACTGCACACGGCAACAGATCGTCGCCAAAATAGTTAGCGCCAGGATGCATGAAACGTCGTCATGCAAACGTACCCGAGTCGAACAAGCTCTTGCATTTCCTTGGCTTTTTGGTACTCAAAGTACACGACGGCCATGTTGAGCTGCAAGAGGAAGCACATCCCGATGAAGAGAGCCAAGTTAAAGTAGATGCCGCCCAGGACGGACGACAGGCAGTCTTGCGTCTACAATCAGCACAGTTGTGTTTGGGTTCGACACATCCACAAAGTTGGTCGGCACACGGACATTTTGAGTTATCACCATCCACCCCGACGCCGTGACAACTTGTAGGATGATGATCATGGCGCTTCCAACGTTGTCAAAGCTCGTCAAGCCAAAATTCAGGTTTGGCGTAAAGTCGGGCTCGGTCATGATGGAGAATGCCGGCGCTGTCGACGGTGTCGTTGTGTTGACGAAGATGTCGAGGAATCGCGGCTGGCCGTTGACGTCGTAGTTGGACCCGCAGAATGTTCCGGGGCTGCACTCGCGACTCCCGCAGTATAGCCCCACCGTGTCGGCGGGATCGAGGGGCCAGAAGCAGTTTTGCGGCGTCCAGTCGGGCGAGTCGTTGGCCATATCGACGCACCGATAGACGGCAGGATCCTTTACGACTGTGTCGATCCACGTCTGGTTTGGGTAGGTAAAGTTTATCGGGGCGGCGGACGCATTAAAGTTGAGCTGCACGGGGAATTCGGTCAGCCGACATCGGCCGTGGTACGACCCGGCCCAAATGTCCATGCCCAGGATTGCAAACACGAGGTAACTAAACCCGAGGAGAATGGTCACGTTGAACAGGGCGGGCAAACTGGACAGAACGCTGTTGGCGAGAACTTTCAATCCTAGACAAAGTCACTGATGCCATGCGCCGACAGAAGGCGAACGCACCTGGAAGCGAGTGCAGCGTACGAAGCGGTCGTAGAATGCGCAACATTCGCAGTTGCGTTAGGCCCACAACCGAGTCACGCTCGAGCGACTCGAGGATTTTGGAGGCCAGCCCGGTCAGGACGACGATGGCGTCGAGTTTGTTCCAGTTGTCGAGCGAGTACGAGTACGGACCTGTCACGCCCAACGCAATAATTTTGACGACTGCTTCTGCACTGAATATCAAAAGCGCGATGTCGTTCGCTCGAGCAACGATAATGTTGCCGAGTTTGGTTGGGTTCGGACCGGACTCCCACGGCTCGGAGTAATCGACGAGGCTCAAGATGAGCGTGTTGGCCAGCACCATGAGCACAATAAATCGGTCGAACCAAGGCGACTTGATGATGTTGACGCAGAACCGCCTGATCGGGTTTTGCTGTGTGAGGCACCCGAGTGACCGGGCCTGGAGCTACACATGGCACGGTGGGTTCATGGCGGAAGTTCTGTGTGGCATTGGACATACGTCGTTGTATTTTACGTGCCGCTTTGTTCCCCCGAGTCTCGCTTCTAGCTTTGCATGCATCATCTTGGACTTGGCAGCGCGGGCCATCATTTCCTTGACGCTGTTCGATCGAACCAGCGCCCCCAGTTTCGGTGGAGTTGCCTGCTTCGTCCCAGCCATCGTGGGCGACGACGTCGTTGGCATGCTGGGTCGCACTTGGACCTTTGTGATCGACGGTCCACTGGCTTCATTCGGACGCGTCGGCGCCATCCCGCGCGTCGGGATCCGTTGTCGAGTTGTTGCAATGTAACCGCTCGAGGGACGAAACGGCGCGGGTATGCGTTCGACGATGACGAAATTACGCTAGGCAAATATGATTGGCTAAAATTGTGATCGTTTCAGTCATTTGATTGGCTTGTGGAAGCAATGATGAAGGACGTGGTGAGACTGGTGCAAACGAGTCAAGATGGCGGCGGTCAAGTTGGCCGCTGCCGACATGCCCGCCGATCGGGACAAGCTCAAGTATGTCCAATTACGATACGAAGGCGACGAAGTGATCTGCACCGAAGACGAAATCACACCGGACGAACGTGAGTTGTTGCAGTACACGCCAACCCCGCCCCCGCGGTCGAGGGTACTTCTCCACAGCTGCTGCGCACCGTGCAGCGGCGCCATGATCGAAGAGATGCGGTACCTCATGGACCTGGACGTGACTATTTTCTTCTACAACCCCAATATCCATCCCCGCAAGGAGTACGAGATTCGCAAGGAAGAGAACATCAAGTACGCACTCAAACACGGGATCCCGTTCGTCGACTGCGACTACGACTCAGACTCGTGGTACAAGCGCATGGTCGGGTTCGAACTCGATCCTGAGCGAGGGATCCGGTGCTCAGCTTGCTTTGACATGCGCATGGAAGTGACTGCCGCGTACGCCGTCCAGCACAACTTTCGCTACTTTACCACGACGAACGCGACGTCCCGTTGGAAGGATGAGACACAAGTCAACCTAGCTGGAGTGCGTGCCGCCAAGCTGTACAATGCAGGTGTCGATCCCTCCAGTGCATCGCTTCCGATCGTGATGGCAACCACGTGATAGATGCGACGGACGATCGAAAGGTGGCATTTTGGGTGTACAATTGGAAGACAGATGCGATGACCCGCCGCAAGTACCAAGTGTCCGTGGACGAAAAGTTCTACAAGCAAGAGTACTGTGGCTGTGCGTACTCGTTGCGGGACTCCAACATTTGGCGAGCTCAACAAGGTATCCCCAAGGTCAAGATCGGCGGTGACTCTGCCGGCCTCGGCACACGATACTTTGAGGACGTCGACGCGGACGAAGCGGAAGAGTCGCAGGCCGTCGTCGATGCCTTTTTCAATGATGCCGCGCAGCACTTTGGCGATTCCAAGCGCGTAGCCAAGTACAAACTCGCGCTTCAAACAAAGCCACACCACGTCGTCGATTTTCAGGGAAGGCTCAAGTCAGCGAACGACGTCGCTAGCAACAATTGGTAGTGCCCACCGCGCTTATTTGGGCTCAATTGCGTCAAATTTGGTTGAGTTGACCACCGCCATGATTTTGAATCCACTGGATGCGTGCATAGGGCGCATAAGCGTAGGCAGTGCGCGCGATTCCGACACCAGATCGAGTGACGGTGCTGATGACAGTGGACAAGCCTCTCTCATGCTGGTGGCCTCCACATGCACACGGCGATGAATCGTTCCAGCAACTCAAATGATGCCACTTCGTCTACACTTTTTTCACCGCAGACTAGAATACTACGACGTTGATGGTGGTCTCATGGGGGTGCTGCTGCCAGCCCCAGCGCTTCTCGGACGCTCTGGAAGTACTCGTCTTCGTTAATCCCGTCTTCGATGATCTCAACTCCTGACCGCATGATGATTTTGCTGGTAGTTGCGTCCAAAAAGAATAGCGTCGGGATGAACTTGACGTCAAATTGTTTGCCCAACTTCGTCTTCATCGACCGCGGCTCGTACGGCAGTGCTGGAAACGCCATGGAGGAGCCCCAGTACTCGTCGAATTGCTCTTGCGTGCCATCGCACGACACAAACAAAATCTCTATGTCGCTGTCGGCTTCGATCAAGTCTTTGTACATACGCGAAACAATCGGTGTGAACGTCCGGCACGGAGGACACCAGTTCGCTGCAAAGTACATCCCGATCCGTTTCTTTCCTGCCAGCGCGTCGCTCGTCGGCACAATGCCCTTGGTCGTCAGGATCTCGGGACCAAGAAGGTCTTCCAAAGTCGGGGCGGTACCCACATGTACGGTTGCAGTCTTGTCGTCGGCCATGGGCATGCACGTGCGGGGAGCAGCCAGCGTCGCAACGAATTGAAAGATGTGCCTTTTCTCAAGGCCCACGATTGCCGATCCTCTGGTCCAACATGCCACTCCGTTCGAGGATTCTCGGGGATTGGGTGTACTGTGCACCCGCACCACATGAGCGCAGCTAATTGAATCGACTGACACTGTCGCCAACTCGTTCAAGCCGGAGCGACAAGTGGGGGACAGGACAGGAGTGGCGCACACGTCAACGAGATCCCACTGGACGATGCCTCGTTTGGCTCCAACGGCGAGTCTCCTTGCCCTTACGGGATGTGTCATGGCCACGACGGTCGCCATGATGGTGCGCGATATCGACAAAGTGGGGGGATTCCGTTATAATATAGTGTTCATTCCGTTCGTGTCATGTAAACTTTCTGCACGGGTCAGAGTCCTCCCGACCTGTCCGGTGTCAAGGTAGCGATTGTCAACAACGTCGTCAAGCCATACAATCCCACAAGGGGACATCCTTCCCCTGGGTTTGGCGACGAATGCTGCCGTGAGTTGAGGAGGCAAGAACAGATTCGCAATAGGTGACCTTGAGAACCGAAATTGCTCGAATCGCGTCAGGATGGGTTGCATGCGACATGCGATGCCATGATACACTGCGCTTGGCACCTTGCGAGGTCTCACTCAAGACATGGCGTAAGGGTCACCGTCCCCGCCGCGTTCTGTGAAGGCATGGAATGGCCTCGTGCAATGCGCAGATCGTCGTGTTACGTGGACACTGGTTGACCATGTTGCGGTTTCGCTCAGTCCTGTCGAGCTTTCATTTTTCCGGTTGATTATCCGGGATACATCTTCGAAACGGCACGATACCGCCGCGACGCTTCGCACCCAGGTGCCATCGCCATGGACGTGAACCGCATCTTCTCCGCCGAGCAGATCGAAGTGCCGCCGGATCTGCCATTGGTTCTGAAGGAATGGACGAAGGACGTCATTCGCACGTCACCAGACGACTTGGCTGTCTTCTCGTTGCAATGGTTCAAGGATCGCGCGAATGAACTAGGAGGTGGGTCGCTCACGGCCGACGAGCTCGAGAACATCCGCAAGCTGTTTGAGCAGTACGATGTGGATGGGAACGGGAAGATGGAAGCACGAGAACTCAAGAGCTTCATCGTTCAAGGTTAGTGCCTCATCCTCCACAATTTATGTCATGAACGACCGGGCCGCGTGCACCAGACTTGGGCTTGGATATTTCGGACAACGACCTCGACGCTGTCGTCGCACTTCTCGACACCGACAACTCGGGCTTCCTCGACTTTAACGAGATCATGAAGTGGTATGGCGGCCAGATCTAGCACGATCCACCCTCGTCGGCCCATCGCGTGGCACGATCGACGACACCTCCATGTGGAAGAAATCACGAGCGACGACACTCGTCGCCATGCAGTGAATGCAACCTCATTTTACGTCGATTGTTTTGGAGTGGTGTTTATTACTCCGTTGTGGGATTACTCATCGTCGCGTCGCCCGCAGCTTCGGTCTGCCAGATGCGGATCGTGCCGTCTTCCGATCCGGTCGCAAAGCTGTCGCCGTTGGGCGCATAGCGCAAGCATCGCACAGGGCCATGATGGCCCTTGTGGCAATCTAAGAGCGTTCCGTCCAATGCAAACACTCGGACCCACGTGTCGGATCCACCTGCGATAAAACGGTCGAGTGTCGGGTGCAGTGACGCTCCTCCTTCCTCGGTGAACGTGATGGGCATGTCCACGTGCGATTTCTCGGTCCACGATGCCGTGTCAAAGAAGTGGACCTTTGACCCGGCCGCCACCGTGAGGATGGACCCGCCGCGAGAGGCTTCCATGTCCATCACGCCAGAACTGCTCACGTGCAACGTCGCGACGCGCGTTTGGGACTCGACGTCCCACACGACCACATTTCCTATCATCGATTGTGAATATGGAAAGGAAACGGAGAGGTCTAGACGTACCTGCTGTGTCGCCCGTGACTACAGTGACGGAACACGTCGAAGGAACTTCCACGATCTTGCGGATCACGTCGTCGGTTTGCATTTGGAATAGAGGAGTTGTCGCGTCCGAGGCAAGGTCGAACACACGCAGGAGCTTCTCATGGCCACCTGTAGCGATCCATGCGGCGTTGCGAAGGAATTCAACGCTCTTCACCACGTGCTTGTGGTCGAAAGTCCGCACGACGTCGCCTGTCACGGCGTTCCATATTTTTACGCTGAAGTCAGCACTCGCAGTGGCAGCAAGCAATCCATCGGCACTCAGTTTCGCAGACCAGGTCGCCCCCTTGTGACCTTCAAACGTCCCTATCCAGTTTCCCGATCGTCCGCATCGCAGCATCGGCAACTTGTCATGGCATGCTGAAATGAGCAGATAGTGGTCGGCAGGTTCCGATGGAGACGCATTGGGGTTGACACTAGGACTGGGGCAGTACTGCACTTCTGCCAAGGGGCGCGAGTGGCCGGGGCACACGATCGGAATCTGTCGGCGTAAGCTTGCTGCTGCGTCCGCCGATGTCGACATGCCTTCGCTTCCACGGCTTCAGTGATTCAAATCCACGGTTGCCCCAGGTTATCCGAAAGCACGTCCGGATACGAATGTAGCAAAGTAGAGAAATCGCAACCCGCTTGCTCGCCTGCTTCGCCAGAGCTGGCGCTTGGGTCCAAGTGGATGCGGTGGCTGTGCTCGCAAAAAGGATGCACTTTCGATGACGAGCCCTGTGTGGACCTCGCGATCTGGCCCATCAAATGACACTGGCGGAGGTTATTTGATATGTTGCATGGGGCGAGTAGAGGTTATCTGTGTGGCATTTGCGGGACCATGCCGCTGATGGACGGTAGCAGGGGACCTTCTTCGCACTACGTAGCGTGATATAGTTGGTCTTCAACGAGAGCATGTATTTGTGCAATAATCACGACGTTGTAGCCTCACACCCTCCGCCGCCAAAGCTACAGTGCCATGCAACTATAAGATCGGCCGATGCACATCAATGCAAAGGATGTCAACAGTATATCAGATCGCTTTGCGACGATGACGCTGAGTACGCCAACGAGCAGACTCTTGTCCAAATGTGCAGCCATTAATCGAGCGCCCTTGCCGGAAGTTGCCAGTGTCGCTGCGAACCATCTTTGAACGCCGAGCAGCACGTATACCGTTGGCTAAGTGAGTGATCGTGCCAAGACCAACACGATCGACAGTTCCATTAGCCTAAAAGTGGCCTGTGCATTGGGCATCCTGTCTAATTTTAACCTACATCGTCGCATTGACGCCCACCATATTCCACTCTTCCTTGTTCTTCTTTCGACGTCGAATTCAAAAGTGCACGATGCGCAATGTCGTTGTCCTGGCCTTGATCTCCTCGACAGTTGCTTCGTCGTCGATCGACCCTCCAAAATCGTGCGAAAAGCACGACTTGATGGCGGTGCTGGGGGTCGCGATGATGCCTGCGTGGCCGAATTGTTCCCAAGCCATGGCAGCATCAGACGAGAACGCTCCAGCTCTGGACCTCGCCATCGCGTCTGTCTCAAGTTTAAAGATATTTTGCGACGCCCCGGCATGCGTGCAGAACCTCGAAGCGCTGTACACGTCCCTTCCCAACTGCGTTGGACCGAATGGCCTCAACCTCCAGAAACTAAACCTGTACACCAAGGATATCCTTTGCAACACCCTGCCCTCAGCTGTCCTGACCCAAGCGCCGTCAGAGCCATGTAAAGAAGTCGATCTTGCTGTCCTCGAGTTCCTCTGGATGTTTCCCCCGTGGAAAAACTGCACGTCGCAGCTGCTGGAGCCCCCCTTGGCCATGCTCATGACGGGAAACGCGTCGCAGACGGCGGCTTTTTGTGCTGCACCGGCGTGCGTATCGTACGCTAGTAGTATCGTTCAACGCATGCCAAGTTGTTTCAACAACTCGACCCTCCAAGTCGGGTGGGCCAACGTCGGGTCGAATTCCAAGACCGACTTGGTTGCCAAACTGTCGTCCACTTGTGCTGTGAAATTCGCCAGCGTAGCGGTGCCACTTCAAGTCCTGTCAATTCCAGTGCTTGCGCTGGCTGGAACGGCGCTGACGTGGCTGCATTTGTCGAGCTAGCTGGGAGTGTTCAGGTCATTTTAAAACTGCGTAATTCACCAAGCACATTCGCCTTTCACGTGAGCGGCGCACCCATAGAGCCTATATTTAGATGCGTGCCTTGCACACCACCGTGTCCTGCGCCGCATGCCACGGACTCTTCTTCCCAGCGTCGCTGCTCATCCACCAAAAGACGTGCTATCGAAAGAACGCATTTGTCGACGTACCATGCCCCAAGTGCAACGCTGCCATTCGGTGCCGTCGTGCTATGACGGTGGCCTAGGCTCAGCAACAAGATAAACTTGTAGGACAGGACACTACCACAACCACGTCGCCAACTGCGAATTGGCGGTACCTCCGCCTCGTGCCCCTCAATCTGCTCCATCGAAGCCGTTGAGTGCAGCTGGACCTATCGGTCTCCCTGAAGCGGACGGCCGGATCAAATGTCGAAAGTGTAAACGGAGCTTTGCACCAGTACATGCATACACTTGGAAACGACGACTCGTCATAACCATGTGCGAACAGGATCGGGTTGAAAAACATCAGTCGGTCTGCCAAGAGCGGGAGCGGAGCCACAACCAAGCGCATCACGCCGAATCCATGCCTCTTGCACAGCACCCGACAACAACGACGTGGCGTCCCCCCACGCGAGATAACCCCCCGGTAAATTGCTGATTTTGTCATGCCAACCACCAGCAACCATTCCTCACTCGTCTTTCGTAGAGAAAGGTACCGCGTTGATTCGAGAGGCGCGAGAAATGTTGCAACGGGTCTCATCATGGCCGTTGTAGCGGGCATTGCCGCAACAAAAAGCGACGGCACCATCGTTGTGCCCATTGGCGATGCCCCCATTAGATGCAAAACCAAGGCGGATGCAGGCGGCGCCGTACGACTTGATCTTACGAGATCAAAGTAATCAGAGAGGGTTTGCGCATGGTGGCATTGGTCTCTCCAACGCCACGTCGGCAGGCAACCCTCTGTCCCGTCGACCGTATTGATAAAACAATTCCTCATCCATTAAACAACTTCCATGACTAAAATCGCGCCGGCGAGGACCCACTTGGCGGGGGGCGCCTTGGACCGCAGTTGCGCCGTGAAGATGTACGTTGGCCCGCGCTGCTGGGTGCGGTAGACTGGACACTCGAATACATTGGCCGCGGTCGTTTGAGTGACTAAGACGGCGCGGCAGTTGATGATCGGCATAGGGCAGCTCATCTCCTTGGGCACGCTCGAGTCGATGATACCTGAACTCAAGTCCCACCGCGCGCCTTCGAGACTGAGGCCGTAGATGAACTGGCCGTCGCGACTCGGGGCATCCAATGAGTCCAGCATGCGCTTTGTAATGTCCGTCACGATTTGCAGCTTGTCCAGCTCGACGCTGTTCTTCTTCGCCATGGACTGCAAAATTGCCGTCAAAAACGATTGAGGGTTGAACAGACCGCTGATCCAAATCACGAGCGGCAATTCCGACGCCGACGAGCTCCATTCCTGCAGTTGATTGATACGGTGCTCAAGGTCTGCCAACCACGGTGACAACGACCGATTGCTCGGGTACGCCACAGCTTCCCATGCCGTTGGGACTTTGTCCAAAAACAAGCTGTCTTGCAGCTTTTCCATCGTGTCGCTCATGGTGAGATCCCCGCGGAAGCCCAAGTCCAACTCAATCAGCGTTCGCGTGATGTGCTCGAGCAATGTATTCATGCGCTCCATCTCTTGCGCAAGCACCGTCTGGAACGGATGCGGATTCTCCGTCGCAATCAAGTCGGACACGTCGAGGCGTAAGTCGCGGTAGTTTTCGAGGACGTCTTGCAAGATTCCTTCGGCAATCGTTTGGGAACTATCAACAGGCTCGGTGATGGCGGCAGCTGTTGTGGATGGCGACGACGTTGTGGAGGGGAAAGCACCGAGGAGCACGGCCCCTTGGATCAGTTTCTCGCTCATTTCGGTGCTAAACAGGATTTCCGTGTTGGGATGGAGGCCGAACGCAAGGGTGGAGTCGCCCACGAGGCTCAACTCCACGTGCTCGAGCATTCGATCATAGGACGAGTTGAGTTTCGGGGCTGAAAACAGCTTGACGTCGGCCCCGTCCGCGTCGTCCAAGTACGGAAACATGCTCAGTTCGTCCAAGAGCTCATCCCTCAAAAAGAATTGCAAATACGTATTGCACACGAGGCGGTCAAAGTCGTTTACGATGTGCCCGCCGTACATGATTTCCCCAAACAAGTAGCGCAAGTCCTGCCACGGGACTCGCGCCGGGGCGTTCTCCATGTAGTTGCCCAATACGGTGGCGCTCGAGGTTAAATCGCCCGCCGAAAACGGATACCTCATGTTGAAGCCCTAGAAATCACGCGATGAGATGCTGCTGCCCCAATAGAGAGAGAGCAGTCGCATGTACTTGAGCGCCAAATCGCTTGCGTTCGAGCATGAGGGCGTGGAAGTAACACATCCCGAACAGTATGCAACGCGTTCGAGGCTCCATGTCGTCGACGTATGCTTTTGGAAAGCAAGACAAGGCACGCTTGACGTTGGCTTTTAGCCCTGTCGGTGGTTCGTTGGTCAGCTTGATGGATTTGTCGAGAATTCCGATTGGAATGAGAGGCGACGGGTCACTCGTGATGAATACACGGCAGTCCGGGTGCACCTAGGCGTTGCCACAACAATAATCACCACCTCGACGCGAAAGGATTCGTACCTTTGCGCCTTCGTCGTGCATGCTATTGAACCACTTGTCCAGGTCAAGCAGCCACTTTGGCATCAAGTGGACATTGTTGAGCAGCACCCAGTTACCATTGCCCCAGCCTTCGTGCAGGGCCGCAAGGGCGACTGTTTCTTGGCCCTGGCCCAGACTAATGTTGTGGTACTCGACGCCTTTGCGCTTTCCATACATGTGGGCGAGTTTGTCGACATTCGCGACGACGTCCGTGCCAGGACTCAGAATAAAATAGAGCGGCGTTGACGGGCTCGACTGCCCAAACGCGTCTTGTAAGATTTGGAACGCATTGAACTGACTGTCGCAGTTCAAGTATTGCGCTCCAAACGGAAGAATGCCGCCGATAAATTGGTGGAGCGCAATACCGAGGCGATCTGATCGCAGACATCGCAACACAAGCAGCTTCAAGAAGGGTGACTTGTCCAATTCGCGCCAGTCGAGAGGTAGCTTTTCCGTCTCAGGAGTAGGCGAATTGTACCATTCTCGGAACCGCGCTTCGCTTTCCACCAAATCCGACGAAAACTTTTCAAACCCGTCCAGCTGGATCAGGGCTTGTAGCATTTGCCACTACAGGCAGACAAGAGAGAATGATATTTGATGAGATGGAGTAGCAGCGCACCTGGGAATCACTGAGCCACTCAATCACGTTTTCTTCTGACACAACCTTTGGCCCTCGCAAGAAGAACTTCATGTACTCGTCGCTGTACCCGCTGAGCTGGCCAATCGACCCGCGCTTGAGCAGACTGAATGTGAGTTGCGTCAAGAACAAAAACTTGTGTTCTTCAAACAGCCCTCGGCTGACCATGGTGAAAAGCGTGAGCAAAACACTTCGTCGTAGGAGCGACACGCGTTCCTGGGCATCCGACGTCTCGCCCGTGACGCTGTCCATGGCCTTGTAGAAGAACACGAGGAATGCGTCGAGGGAGTACTGGTACATGTGGTTGATCTTGGTGAGGAGCACCATGATGAAGAAGATCATCGCGCCTTCCGCAGCTATTGGACGGTATATCTCGCGTGCTTCATTGATCACTCGCTCGGTCTCCTTTCCGCGCAAGATGGCGGAATTTACTTCGTTCGCTGTCGCTTTCGTCGCCTCCAAAGACTCGATCAACGGTACGTCAGACAAAATGTCGTCTGGCGCGTTTGCAAGGCGTTCGAGCAACTGGTTTTCCAACTCGAGCAACTGAATCTTGTACTTGTTGAACGCTTGCTGGAGGTTCTGCTTGTCCATCTCGAGCACAGGTTGCTCGCGGTTCACAACTTGCTTCAGAAGCTGTTCCTCGAGCCCCTTTTCCGTCACGATAAAATTGATCAGCGTACAATGGGCGACGATTTCCGGGCGATAGTGTGGGTTTGACAACTTTGTGTGCAAAAACAGTCGAAACTTTGTGTCGTACTCGACCTCTTCCCCCGACATGCGAACGAACCAGTTCTTGCCCTTCTTGTACACTTGGCGCATCAAGATCGGCTCTAACGTGACGTCGATCGACTCGCCTAGCACGTTTTCATTTATCGTCAGTGTCAGGGCTTGAAAACTAGCATTCTACCGAGATTTTCAAGCAAAACCGTCGCGCCGTCCGTGATGGCATGACCCAATTGTTTTCGCCACGTCTTTTGTGTCGCATTTAGCACGACGAACGACAACGTGGCTCGCTCAGGAGCTTTCGTCGCCTCGCCAACTCTCAACACGTCTTTCTTCGGCGGTTCATCCCACCCATTTGGGGGATTGATAGACTTTTTGCGATTCAACTTCGCCAGGCTCAAGTTCCTCCCGGCGTCAGGAGGCTTGCTCTTGTCTGTGACCGAGTCCAAAGAGTCGTTGGCGACCTGTTCCACGGCTGGCTTTAGCTTGTTCCCGGGTTGCACCTGCGGCAGTGATCGCTGACGAAGGAGTTCCTTTGAGCGCAACCAGTTGAGTCCTTGCAACTGCGGATCTATTAAAAGCGGCCACCTCTCGCAACATGAAATGATGCAGCCGTTTTCAATCGACATGCGATCTGCCGGTAATCCTAATCACCCATGCATTTTGAGGCTGCCCCGTTCATAAGTACGCTTAGAAGTACCTTCGTTCATCCATTGAGCGATCGCAGAATCATCGCTCAACATGTTGACCGGGTCCATCGAGTTGATTTTGTCGTCGGGACGGAGGCTGATTGGAATTTCACGGCTAATCAAGTCGGGGAGCCACACCTATATCAGAAAGTTTTGAAAATTCAACGCGTATCACTTGAAAATCCTCACTTGGTTCCACAGCTGGTACCGAAATGTGGCATCAAACGCCCCAATGTAGCTGACAAACGCAGCTGCCAACAAGACGTCTCCAACGAGAGACACTTCACCAAGTTTGAGCAAGTCAATCTCACGCTTCCATCGTTCGTTCTCCGACGCAAGTCCGAGCACCAATCGTTCCGCAAGGCCAAGGCGTTCCTGGCAATTCTTGGCTTCTGCTTCGACCTACTCATCAACTTTGAGCTCTGACGTGATTGATGCATCGTTGGACCTTAGCCTTTTCGTTGGTGGCTTCACGGAACGACGCCTGCAACGCATTGAGCTGGCCTTCCACCTCCCGCACCATCGCCATGACGCTTTCAAGCGCAGCGTCGGCATTTGCTTTGGCCGCACGAGACTCCTCAAGGGCGTCCATGAGGGGTTTTACTTTGACGTACACCTTGTTGTACGTCATGATGTTGACGACCCATGTGCACAAGTTTGCGGCTGCCACCGACTTGGATTTCATTTTTTCGTAGTTGAAATTTGGATCTTCCAGAATCGGCTCGACGCGCTGAACAACTTCAATCGGAATGTGCTCCTTGTCATACTGTTCGAGCTGGATTTTGAACGCGTCAACTTTTGCCATCATTTTCTTGGCGTTGTCCCAGGTAAAGTTCTTCGTTTCCTCTTTCACCATCATCAAAACGGCGGTAGTGACTTTGTCAACCCCCGCCGGCGGCTTTTGCATCGACTTGAGCTCAGTGAGACTCGCCTTGTTTAGACAATTCACGGCTTCCTGGGCTGCCTTCAGCGCTGGTTGGGCAATCTCAAGTTCGGCGGTCGCCTGCCGCTCAATTTTTGTCGCTGCTTCAGCTGCCATCGCAGCCTTCTGGCGCTCTTCATCGGCTCTGGCTTGTTTGATCTGGGCGTCGTTGCGCTGTTTGCCCATTTGTTCGAGCAACGCATCAGTGCCCTTCTTTCGATCGTCCACTTTACGCATTGTCACTTTGAGCTCCTTTTGCAGCGCTTCAACGTCGTCCGATGTCTTCTTGAGCGTTCGAAGGCCAACGTCAAGTCGCTTGATCAGACTTTGCACGGACGTTCGTTTGTTCTTCAGCAACTTTTTGTAAAACATAATAAGCTCCAAAAACGACGTCGGTGTCACGTAATTGAACCGTCCTTGACTGGCTTTGAATTGCACCGACGCAGCAATGACCGACGTGTGGACTTCTGCCATGTGATGGCTCACGTTGTCCGCCAATGCAACCGACGACCACTCCATTTCACTCAAGAACGACGCACTCACACTGACGAGTGCCTCCTTTGGCCACGGGTGAAACCAATCGATGGACACGCATTGGACCAGCGCCGGAAATTTACGAGCTCGTTGTCGAAACGCGACCCCCACGGGTGAAAATGCCAACACGATGTGGAGGTTGGCACGAACGCGGTCAAGGAAGAAGTTCACCTGAGAGGCGGCGTCACCGATAATATGATATGGAAATTAGAATAGTACGTACCATTTGGTCGCGCGAGTCGGGAATACTATTTGCCTTAGCTTCTGCGCGCAAGGAGCCGAGGATGGTGTCACACTCCTCCACCGTGAAGAGATCCACCACGGACCCGTGGCTGAGCAAGGTGCTCAAGTAAATGAGAAAAGCATCGTCCACCAACTGAGAATCCGTGAGTAAAAGGACCAACGGCAGCCCTGGCTTCACTGCAGCCCGACGCGCTAAGTCCTTGATATCTTCCTTGAACTCGGGTACGCCATAGCTCGCTTTCACGCAAAACTGCACCAGCGGGTACTTGACGATAAACGCTGCCAGCTTTGTTAACGATTGTTTGCCGGAGCCACCGACGCCGATCAACATGGCATGACTTCGGGGCATAGCCAAGATTCGAACGATTCGCGTCTACAAGGTGCCGACACCAAGTTGAAAGTTACCGTGAAAATCAAGGAACAAGGAAGAATGCGCTTACCACATGGTCCATCGCAGCGTCAAAGAGCACCAAATGCATGACCGGAAGCGATTCGTTGTACGCGCTTAAGCAAGCTTGCAGGGCAGTGTGCAGTTCGGTGCGGTCTTTCATGGGAACTGGTGCAGTCGTCGTGACAAAGTCGACTTCACGCGGCAAACGCGTGAACAGGATCGGCTGCGCGTTGAGCTCAGCTACGTCTTCTTCAATGTGCTTCTTGGCGTGTTCAAGCAGCAGATCTTGGAATCGAGTGCATTCGCTCACCGACACGAGGCGGTCACAAAACACCCGGGTGCATTCGTGCAGCCAAAAGCGGCCCATCTTCAGTGGGCTCGTAAACACTTCGGGTCGCGTCGACACGAGGCTCTGGAACAACGTGCTCAAGTCGCGAAGATTAAAATTGTAGTGAAACTTGAGCGCCGTGGGGAGAAACGATTCGCGCACTTCCGTATGCACGTCCATTGTGGCCGTGAGAAGGCCATTGGCCATTTTCTTGACGACATCGCTGAACGGCTGCAAATGATGGTGCAGCAGTGTGCCAAACAAGTGGAAGCAGTCGGCTTTGGATGGAAAGAGATGGCCGAACGTTGCAAAATGCCGCTGCAATCGTGGATTGATGGTAAACGAGCCAGCTTTGTGATTCATGCACGCAACAAATTGTACGTCTTGGATCGTTTTCTTGTACCCCACTTCGACGCGATCGTACCAGCCGCCGTAGTCCATGAATTGCCGCAAGAGAGCGATGGCAGTTTGCGTCCCGTACACTTCGACCATGGGCATGTTGACGTCGTCAAGAAAGTACACGAGTGACGACTGGTGCGGCGGCCCGTAGATGCGACCGCTTCGTTTCTCGACGTGAGACTCGAGCTGCCGTTGCAGCGAAGCGGCGTCCGTGTAGTAATGCAATGGGATGCTGGCCACGTTGAGGTCATCCTTGTGTTTGAAGCAGTCTCGAACCACGGTGGTTTTTCCCGTGCCGCCACCACCGACGAGCATCACAGGCCCACCGGTAGGCAGGAGCAGCGCGAGCAAGTACTGCAGTCGAACGCTCTCAACAGTTGGCACCACAATCGAGTAAAACGGAGCCTCCCCCAAGGACATGTTGCATTCTGGTACGACATCACTCCATGGCAAAAACTCATTCGATTCGATGTGCAGCCGCATGTCAAACACCGACATTGACGATGACGCTCCAGCCGCTTCCGTGTCCGATGGTGGCTTGACATCCTTCTTGGGCGAAGCTTTGACGAGGAGAGGCTTAATCAAGTGGCTGAACGCGCGTCGACTGTCCCGTGGCTCTGCGTCCAACGCGCCGCCGAACGCCCAGAACGCACAAAACAAAAACACGTTTTCAAGTATGTCAGGGGTCTTTTGCGCGTCAGTGAGCGTCGCGACGAATCCCTCGAGAAGACGACAGAGCGTCGTGACCATGGCGAGCGGGGTCATGGGGATCATGTATTGCAGCTCCTTCTTGTGTTCGGCGACGACTTGGAGAAATGCATCTGCATGCTTGCGGAACAGCGCGCTCCACATACCGCCTTCCTTCCGCGTTTGCGCCCACGACTCCACGTATGGGAGGTACCCAATGTCAGTATCGTTGATGTACAAAATGCCGGCGCGACTGACGGTGGCAGGCGTCGCGTTGTGCAACGAGTGAATCTCAAACACCATCCGCATACTGTCGGTCAGCGGAATGCGCTCGTTCGAGACGAGCGTGAGCACTTTGTTGTCGTCCATGACGGTGTTCATGCTTTCAATCCAAATTGCGTCGATGTCACCGTCCAGTACGACCCATTTGCCGCGTTGGAGAGCCGTGTACGGAGCAGTTTCCTTGGACATACTCCGCATGAGCATGGACAGCACTCCGTCCTTCCAGTCGCGACTGAGCGTCATGTACCCATACAATTCATCGGATGAGACAGCTTTCGGGTTGATCGTTTCATGCACGACCACCGGTTTCGGATGGGAAATGTTTAACACCTGAACCAGCGTGCGCCAAATCGTAGTTTTCCCACACCCAGCAGGTCCCAACAGCATTACTGAATGGCGCACTTTGAGCAGCTGGTCGTAATCGCCGACCTTCTTGATAAACATGTCTTCGGGTTGGAGGCTCTGGGCGACACAGACTTGGGTGCATGCAGCTTTGAGGGGGCACTCAGAGGCAGCCTCGACGACTGCGGTCGGGAACAAGTCCTTGAGCAAGCCGAGAAACACGGGGACATCCCGAAGTGGCAGCTTTGGCACGTTGAAATCGCGCAGTGCTCGCATGAGAATTGTTTCTTCTTGGGCTGCGGGATCCGCGCGTTTGAGACTTCCAGCCACCATGAGGACAGATTTGACAGCGCGCAAGCCCCAGTCGTAGTGCACTTGTTTGCTCAGCAATTCCGAGCTCAGTTGATACAGTGTGACGAACTTTTTGGCAAGCGAGCGAGCATGAAGGAACCCTTCGGACATGAGCATGTTTTCCGAGATAGGTTGGACGTCGGGGCGGATCATGGCACACGATCGGAACAATGCCTTGAGGTTTTCTGGCAATTCCGTTCGGCCAGCATACCCGGGGTTCATTGTGATGAAGAAACCGACGGTAGGCACGAGTGCGATTTTTTTGCCTTGGAAGTAAAACATGCCAACTTTGGAAGGGGGTGTTCCTAGAGCAATCGGTGTCAGCACTCGCCAAACAATCACGAGATGCGTCATACCAGCTGGGACCGCTTGGTACTCCATTTCGCGGTTGGCTGGAACGGCGAGCCACGCGATCGCGTCCAGCACAGTCTTTACCTGCGTCGCTACAACCGACAACACTTCAACGTTGATTCGGTTGAACTCGTCGAAGCACCCCCACGCGCCAGTTTGAGATAACCCGCGAAAGATGTCGGCCATGGTTTGATAGTTCATCTGGTCGGAACAGTTAAACACGTAGCACATGACGCCCATGCCTCTTGCCAAGTCCTTTGTGGTTTCCGTTTTCCCTGGGATCGTTGATGTCAGGACGCATTCGAACGAATTCAGTGTTCAAGACTACCTGTGCCAGCCGGGCCCGCGGGCGCTCCACCCAAATAAAGACGCAGGGCTGTCGTCATGGTCACGTAACATCGATCGGTGAGTGGCGTAATGACGAGGCGCCCGCAGTTTCCAATGTATTCATACGAGTACAACGCTCGAAAGTCGCAGATTCGAATCGCGACTTGCTTGGTCGTCTGTGGGTCCAAGTAGTAGTATCGCAGTTGGGATTGCCAAAGAAAGTCCAGCGACGAGTTGACCTTTTTCGACACAAGCGTTTGAATGACATCCCGAGCATGGACATCGACCGTGATAATTGTGATGATCTTCACGCGATCGAGCTTGGTCAGTTCGCCTACAATCACCATCAAAAACGCGTACAGCAGCAACGCATTGCAACACAACAGTACCTTGCACGAGCTTGATCAAATCGTCGAGGCGGGTATTGCACACTTCGTAGTACTTTTTCAGAGCGTCTTCTTGGCCCCCTTCAAGTTCTTCTAGCGCTTTCTCCGACTCCTCCGTCCAAATAATTTGAGAGCCCAAGAGACTCAGCTGCGCTGGGTAATCCATGACCCAAGCATGTCGAGCGACTTCCAGGCCCCATGCAGCGGATGCCTCCAGCGCATCCTGGACAATTCGCCGTAGCGTGCTCTGCATCACCAAGAGCAAATCGTGAAGCCATAGTTCGACTGCAGTGCCGACTGCGATGAGGAAAGGAGTAGGAAACACAATAATCTCGCCTTCTTTAGACGTGGCGGACACGCCCGTCAGTGGCCACTGGGTCACTTCTTCAAACTGCAGGCACCGAATGCCATCGAAACAATCGCTCAAGTGCGGCTGAATCTTCAACGGATCGTTTCCATGACTGAGGATGTCGAGCAGCGCAGCGTTCGACACAAAGTAAAAGCGTGGAAACACGTCTTTCTTCCCGTCCAGGTATTGGTTCAGCGCTTTTTGACATACCTCGAGCTCGCCATAGAGATCCTTTAGCATGGGCTCTCGATTGGTGTTCCCGCACGTCTCCAATATACCGAGTCTTCCCTGGATTTCGTTGTACAATTCCTTGAGTTGGGCATCGATTGACTCAAAGCGCTTTGTGTCGTGGGGGAGCTGGAGTCGAATGTCCTCTGAGCACATAAAGATCCTCTCCAGGGATAGCCACGTTTGCTGAACAGTGAACCATAGTTTGAGCACGGTTTCGACATTCCCCAGGGTTTGTTGCCACCACAGGACCTTGTCACGAAAGTACTCAACGAACTTGCCCTGACCGGCCATCGCTTGCAAGGCGAGTTGCTGTTCTTCGAGCGTTTCCACGATCGAGTCCATTTGAGACGCTTGCAAGATCATGGTGGTGTCGTGATGTGGTACAACAACAAAGCTCCAGGCGGACCAGATGTTTGAAATCGTGAGCAAATCGGTTTCGATCTTAAGTTCGCGAGTCGCAACTTCGACAATGTCTTGGACTTCAATATCGAACCGGTACAATTCGAGACGAAGCAAGTCTTCCACATGAACGTTCTCCATATGCAATGTCCACGATGCCATCGACGTCTTCTTGGTGACCATCAAGAGGTGCTTCCAGTGCCGTTCTCGCATCGCGGGGGAGTGCAGGAGTTCGATCAACGGCAGTGTCGCACTCATTTGGCTCAGCCCTGTCTCCATTTTCTTGTAAATCGCCCACTCGCGCACCTTGGCGGGGCACTTGAGCATCGTTGCTGTCATCGCTTTCACAGCATCCATGAGCTCTTCGATGTTGGCGTCCTGCCACAACAATGAATGCCACGACTCGAACGTAGACGTTGTGTTGTGAAACAAGGTCCACACATTGTAGAGCAAGCCCCACTCAATACGACACAAATCAAGGCTGTCAAACTTGGAGTCGGCCAGCTCAAACATGTCTTCGAGCTCTCCGAATCGTTTTGCTTCACCTTCGATGTCGTTCAACCGATCCTCCACGGACGCGAGGACTTCCATAGCTTTCGCAACCACTTGCTCCAACGGCGCTACTGGTCCCACCAACGCCGACACGCCTTCGTACGTAAACGGTGCCTTTAGGAGGAAGTCGTCGCGGAACGCGTGGACGCGCTTGCCAAAACCGAGCAAGTCAATCTTGATCGTTTCCACAGCCTGGTTCTGCATGGGGGCAATCACGTCTTTCTTCTTGAATGTTTTGTTCACCATCGAGTCCCATCGTAGGGGCGCCTGCTCGAGGCACTGGAGCGCGGTCTCTTTGCCGACGTACGACACGTCCAAATGAATTCCATGGCGCTTGAGCAGCGCAACAGTGTCCCGAACGGGACCAAAGTTGACCTGTTTGGTCGCCATGAGGCGCCGAACGTCTTGGACATGGGCCATGCATGCCATGAGGGTCGTGGTGTCGGTCACTGGAACGTCCAGACCCGAGTTCACAGTCGCAATGAACGTGTCGACCCATGTCAGCTGGTTCACAACGCGATCGTGGAGAAACTGCGTAAACATGTACACCCACTTGGTGACCCACGTGCTGAGCGCTTGCTTGATAGGAAGCGAGTTTACGCGGACAAAGCACATGTCGCGGGAATGCTTGGCTTCGCTGATTTCGTTTTGCAAGTTCAAGCACATCTGAATTTTTTCGTCAAACATGGCAAGATTTATGAGCGGACCCGACATGTCGACAGCGTTCTTGTCGGCCCCTGGCGACACCAAAGACGCGACCAGCGGGTCCATCGGCATCCACGCCGTCTCGAGGAAGGACGCGAACATTTGATTCAAATCCGTCGACCACAGGTACTCGTACGCCATCAGTTCCTTTTTGTATGAGTAGCACGCTGCCTCGTTGACGAGGCAAGCGTTGTGGATTTCAGCCACGCACCGTTGGATTTCAGGATGCTCCCGCATTTCCTTGAGGTACGTGCCTTCCGACGTGTCTAGACGTTTGAAGAGCGATGCGACTTGAAATGTGGTCTCCACCCACGTGTGAACGACATCGGTGAGACCACTCTTGTTTGGTAGCGACCCCACTGACGGAACAAAGACAATGTCTTTGCCGTACAAGTCGAGTTCGATTTCGAGAATCGGTGACAAGTCGTTTGCTTCAATGCTGGCCGGATTCAGCTGCGACTGAATATATCTCAGAGATGTCAAAACCACCTTGGCCAGCCCGTCTTCGACAATGCCATTGATGTAGTCAACATACGACCGCCAGTCTGGACTCCCTTGGGAAACTTTGAGCTTCTTCAGCGTGTCCTTGAGGAGCCGGTGAATTTCGTTCCCTCCTTCTTTGATGAGGAGGTATTTTGCGGCCCGAAGTGGCTGTTGCGATTCATTGAATTCAGCGACACTCAGAGGCTTTGACCGCCGCTCAAAGAGGAGTCCTACATCACGTCCTATGTCATACGGGATATGACGCATCAAGAGATTCTTTACCTGCGTTCCAGTTGTGCAACAGTTCCTGGACCCGCGCCATGTGAGCTTTCATCGCGTCCAGCAACGCAGTCGCTTCGTTGACGTCCGTCATACTGTCTTTGAGGAACATGTCAATGCCATGGGACTTCCAATTTAAAGATCGGATGCCTCGCGACAAGATCTGGTCGATTTTGTCCAAATGGCTTTTCACCAACGGCCTTTCGACCGGCAGGAGGGTTGTATGGACGCGGTTGTACATGTCGACAATGAGATCCAAGTTGCCAGTTTGACGGCGAAATACTTCGGCTTTTCGGTAAATCGTCATGGCTTCTTCGGGAATTTCGAGCTTCAGCACGATAAAGTATTTGACTTCTCGGAGCAACTGGACTAAAGCCGGGTCAAAGTTTACAAACACCAAGCCTACAAAACGACGTCAAGGATTGACCAAAATTATGTCGACACTTGACGCACCGCTTTCGGCGTCCTTGCGAAGTAGCGGCAGCTTCAATTTCGACTTGGACGAGATTTCAATCGAGTGTGCCCACGTTTTAACGGTTGCTGTCTCGTATTCCATGAGGGAGGCGACCAGGTTGGTGTACATTTTAATCACTTCCTTCGAGTCTTCTCGCTCCAGAACCGAGCGATTCAACCGCTTGAGCTTCTCCATGGGGTACGCGACACGATCGAGCAATCCTCGAGACCATGTCACGGCCCCAGCAAAAGGAGGAAAGTTGTAACCAATGGGCGGGACATCCCGCTTGTCAATAAAGATTTGCTGAACGACGTGGAGGTCTTCGCTGTACGACGCAATCAAGAGCGCATGTTTCTTTTCTAGTTCGTTCTTGATGATCGGTCTAGACATGCCTTGTCGTTTTCTATTTTTATGGTTTCGTCATTACCTTTCCAAGAGATCATCAAACGAATCGAGCAGCTTGAACCGGCCTGTGATGGACTTAGAGTCGTCGAACGCTTGATTTACGACTGACGCCAGACGGCGCTCGAGCTCTTTATTTTTCGATCGGAACTCGTAAAAGTCATCGTCGAACCCCTTCGCGTCGATATCGAGGAGGTCGTACTGAACGTGCTTGATGGCAGCGACGGTTTCCTGAAAATCGGCAAATATCTGATGCACCGATGTGGTCAACGTCTTGCCTTTCGTGCCCCCCACCTAACATCGGCATGAGTACAAGCAAGATTTCAAGCGGGTGGGCCAGCAAGGGGGATACCTCGATTTTACTGAGCTTGCCAAACTGAACGATCGTTTGGGTCAATTCAAGCACGTCGTGGCAACGTTCGAGAAACGCATCGAGTCGCACAAATAGTGCGTTGTTTTGGATGCGCCACTGATTTTGAGGGCACTCGACATTTGCTTTCGCTTTGTAGTCAAAGTACGTTGCTTTGAACGTGGCGCACACACGCAACGTGGTCCTGAGCCCATCTAACGCCTTCAACGTGTCGTCGGCGTCGATCAGGTCAAACAGTTGCCGACCGTTCATAAAAGCAAACGCCTGCTCGAAGAGTTAAGGCAACTCGCGCAACACGTGACGAGAGCAAGTACCTTGCGAATGAGCTCGTTGCATATTTGGCGCATGAGGACGACAAGTCTCGGTGGCGAGTTGTAGAATCGACTCCACTTCCATACGAGCAAGATCGAATGCAAAATTGGTCGAAAGATGTCGATGAGGGCCGTGAAATCCTGTTCGGTCTCAAGCTTTTCAAACCTACAAGGTCGTCGTGCGATCAGACGAAGTGTGCGACATATAGGGGACGGCGCACCATGGAAGCAAAGGAGCGAGGAAGAGTACGTTGTCGTTGGCTTCGGCACGCGCATGAAACACTTCCTTGCACAACTTGGCGAACGGGATGTTGTACGTGCTCTTGGACATGTCCAAGTACTGAAGCACCTTGCGGATGCTGTCGCTCTGGAGTTGGTCGAAAATCGAGTTTAAGTTGCGAGATTTTGCGATCCAGAATCGGTTCTCCTCGGACGGACCAGGATTCCGCGGTGCCTTGTCCTTGGTGTGGTTGTTCAGGAGCATTTCGGGGTCGAGTTTTAAAATGTTCTTGACCTGCTTGGTCCAAATGATCAAGCAACCTTCGAGCACGTGCACCTGGTCTTTCAACTTGACGTCCTGGGGATTTGCTTTCGTCTCGGGGGGCAACGGTAGGCACGTCTCGCCCTTCGTTTGCCCCAACGTGATCTGTAAATTCGACATGAACGTCTGGACATTGTCCGTGATCGATGTTGCAACCATCTCTGGCCACGCGAGTTGGTTGGCTGAGTGCGTGGCTAGCGGCACAAACACATCCACCATCATGCGATGCATAGTTTCCAAGAGATTTCGCGTCAAAGATCCCGTGAGGAGTTCGGACGCGTACTTTTCCATGCTCACGGGGCCTTTCATCGCCTTTAGGATGTACAGGATGTTGGCCGACTCCTTGAGCAACATTGACGGAGTGACGGCGTTGTGAATGCAATAACGATTCGATCCCGTCTCCGACACTAGCAATACACGGGTTTCGCTGGACTGGAGAAACTCGTTCACCGTTTGGGACGTGGCGTCGGATGTGAAGAACGTTCGAAGCATATCCAAGTTGGACGACCGGTACGTGGACTCGAGGATGCGCTTGATGTACTCAACGCGTGCATCTGACGCTGACAGAGCTGAAGTCTCGTTGTTCCGTGAGCGGACGGGTTGCTCGTGTTCGCCCGCCGCGTCTGCCATCGCCGTCGAGATCTTCGCGGGCTTTTCGTTTGCGACTGTTCGAGAGATCGCACTTACAAGAGGTTCAATATAATATTTCAAAAGGGAACCTCTCAAATATTATAGGAATAGTAAAATGTGACCCACATTCGACGTTTGTGCCGCAGAGATGATGGCATCAGATGTGCGAGCTCGGTCGCCTGCGAAGCGAGGTTTGCTCAAGCGCATCGTGGACAACGGGCGCCTCCAGCCTCTTGCACTATACGCAGCATGGATTGGGGTCGTGTTGGGAATCGTGTGGGTTTTGGCCCATCCCGTGGCAACAATAACAACTGGCGAGCAAAAGAGCCGCGGGACGTATTTTTCCGAGAATGCGCTTCTCATTGACTCTACCATGTCGGACATCACAGACGTTCAAGTAAAGTAGTTGGGCTGGACTCTACTCATGTGGATGTGGTTAGGCATCTTGGGCAAAGAAGCTGCACAAGGAGTATATCAGCCTCGATGCGACGGACGAAAACGGATGCGAGCTTCACAGCACGTGCACGCATGTGATGCAATGGATCGAATCCAAGCTGCTTTCTATTCCAGGCGTTAACGTATATCGTCAGCAATACACTCAGCATTTGTACGACGCCGAATTTGTCAACCGCACCAACATTTATGCAGTCTTGCGTGGTGCTCCCTTGGTCGACGGCAAGGAATCGCTGGTGTACGTTACCCTCCTCCATTCTTCAAATGCTCCGGCAAACGAGAGGATTAGGCTCGTGGTTCAATACCCTAACATTCCCGCGACGAGCAAGAATGGGTTCTCTGCATTGACCGTCGGGCTGGCCATGTTGCAGTACCTCCATGGCAAAAAGTGGCTCGCAAAGGACGTCGTGTTGCTTCTCACCGATGGTAAGGTGCTACTTATCAACGAGATGGTGAATCTGAAGCTGCCAAAGATGGGCCGAACGATGGCAGGGACGGGTACTCGCCGGGAGTGGAGGTACATACAACACTACGTTACTGCACTCAACCTTCTGTCCAAGGCGTGGCTGAGATCGTACCATTCTGACCCGTTTTCAACGTCGTCTGCGTTGGAGATGCACGCTGGAGTGATTCGAGGCGCGATCAACCTCGAAACGAGCTTGAACAGACGTAAATACAACTCTGTACAGCCCTCCATCGATGGAAGCAGGGGATCTCACCTCCGCTTTAGGTCGGCATTTTCACTGCTGGGATAAATGGGCAGCTGCCCAACCTGGATTTGGTTAATTCGGCCGTCGAAACGTTGGAGAACGAGCGAATTCCCATCGTCTTGGACAGGTACTCTTTTCATCTTCCGTCATGAAAGTTCATGGTGGGGTTAGATGTGCGGACTCGTCCATCGTGTGCGATGATTTGTTGGCTGTGCTGGACCTGTGGGTGCGCTCATTGGTACCGCGCAATTGGGACGGTTACCTCACTCGTCTCTTGACCATGTTTCGGTTCATCGCGACGCTAGCGACGGGTCCGTCTGGCCCCCATGCAAATTTCATTCACTACAACATCGACGCCATCACACTCACCGCACTACACTCGGACTCGCAATCGTCTTCGTCGTTCCAATTGACCAATTTCATGCGTGCTATCGCGACAGTCGTGCGCGGCATCAGCAACTTAGAGGAAAAGTTTCATCAGTCGTTTTACTTCTACCTGCTGCCGACGACCCGCACATTTGTCTCCATTGGAGAGTATTATTACCCTATGGTGCTGCTCATGCTGCCACTGTTTGCCCACACGCTGTACATCGCGACTAACACCGTACGGCTACGCCGTAAAAATGTTTGCATTTCACGAACTTTGGCGATTCGTAGGGGGGGCTCCGACTCGCCTTTGCGTTAGCGGCATTCGCGTCTGCCGCCTCCCTCGGACTAGTCTTGCTAGTTATGACAACGCATTTGTCGTTGCTTGACCCGATTGTTCCTCTCTTGGATTTGGCGAAGAACCACCCGGATACACTCAGCCGGTCGTATTGCTGGACTCTCGTGGGATTAGCTGCGCTGCTCCAACTTGTGGCCGTGCGGTGGGTGGTGCCTGCCCTGTCCCGGCACGACTTACTCGAGGGGTGCGTCGACGAAAGCCAGTGGCTGCGTCAAGTCCACGACCACAGAAAAGAGTTTGAAGCCACCAAGTCAGAAAAAGACCAAAACAAGGACCTCCTGGTTCGACCAGTCGATTTAAAGCCGGTGCATCGTTCCAACATCTTGTGAATTTGTAGAGCCCGCTTGTCCCGTACGCGTCCGACGTTGGGTGGCATGCAGTCAAGGGCTTCGCGGCCATCTTTGTCATGTACGCGTGTTGGCATGTGTTCGAGTAGGTTCTCATTTTTCTGCTGTAGTGTCGTGCACTGTGCCATGGGCATACTAAACTTTTCGCTTGCGCTGCTCTGCACATTGCCCATGGTGCTACTGATCGCATCTGCCAAACCCGCCGTGGAATCCTCGGTCCTTCATGCTATTACGAGTGGCGTCTTGCTGTCGTTGTTCAGGTAAAACCTCACTCCTGCAAATGTAAATTGATCACGGAGAACATGTAGTCCTGTTGGGTCCCTCCTTCTCCTGGACTTTGCCCACCCAAGTGGTAAGCGAATAGTTCTTTGTTCAAGTCGCCGTCGTCCCATTGCCTGTTTGTAGCAATGGATGGACTGGCGTACGGAATCAACGGCTACATGCGCCACAATCTTCTCACTGTGCCATACCTTTGCCTCGTCTACTTTCCCGTCCACACTTTGATGCTATGGGTGTACCAGTTTCAAGTGGCACCACCCAAGGATCCCAGTAGCGATTAAGTTTTGGACAAACCGTGCAACTTTCGCTGACTGGCTCCTGGATGGGTGTCCTGGTGCTGGAGGTAGGATTCTTCTTAAGAAAATGAAGCCAAGTCAGCTATGATTTCCAGACAATACTAGCTGCTCTGTCAAGCTGTAGCACCATTGCGTTTATAGGAATCGGTGTGGTTGGGGCCTGGGCGTTTGTGTACCAGATAACTCTGGGCATGTAGCACAAAGAACAGCTCGTCGATGGTTCCCTCCTTTGAACAAGCTGAAACCTCGACACAGGCAAGCTGAGGGAAACTTCAGGTTGACGGCATGTTGCGCTGGGAACGTGGAGTAAGCAGTGGCCATCAAGCAATCGGTGTTGACTGCCCCACATGAACGTCGCGGATTACCCTAGCGACCGCACCCTGCAGAATCGTTGTTTCACCGTTGTAACCGTTCGGGACAGCAGTTTCGAATTTGACTGTCGCGCGAATGCAACCGGGCAGAAGCGCCAGTCGCATGAGCCGTGTGAGTATGTCCCGAGCAGGAGCAAGGGCGTCGCAGGACAACCGGGGCCGGATCAACACACGCAAGCTGTCGACGAGTGTCATCATGGTCGTCCAACAGCGCCAAAATCGATGGACGATCGACGCCGAGTCCAAGTGGCTGAGCGCGTGGAACGCGGTGCTCCTCGTCGCAATCATCCATGCCGTTTTCTGCGTCTCATTTGTCGTGTCATTTCAACTCTACGACGATGTCCATGCGACGCACGACCGCCTCGACTTCCTCGAGCTCCTCTTCGCCATTGACATCGTGGTCAACATGCATACTACGTTCTACGAAAGCGGCAACGTCGTCATGGAACTGTGGCGGACTCGCGCCAAGTATTTGTGCTCACCAGCGTTTGTCCTCGATGTCATCCCGTTACTTCCTCTGAGGCGGTGCTTCGCACCAGACCCCATTGCGACGGTTGGGAAATGCGTCGACTTACTCAAGATCATAAGGCTCCTTCGCCTCCCAAAGTGCATCCTCCACGTCGAGCACCTCTTGGCCAAGTACTTTACCCTCGTCAAGCGCATCAAAATCGTAGGTGCATGTATCGCCGTGTCGCACGTGTTGGCGTGCGTGCGGGGCTGGTACTACCCCAACGATCACAACGACCATGGGCGGCGGTTGTCAGGGTCGTCCGGAGATCCGTGGATTCCCATACCTAGCACAACTCCCGGCCGGGACTACCTTGCGTCCGCATTCTGGTGCGTGCCTCTCTCTCACTATCCAAGCCTCATGTGTGATGCTTGCATCTTTGCAGGTCGTTCGGAATCCTGTCAGGGCTGTTTGAAGGGGAATTGCCCCGCACGATCAACGCGTCGCTTTTGACCCTCGTCGTCATGCTCTCCGGGCTCTTTCTGTTTCCGTACATCTGCGGGACCTTTTCCATGATCTCGAAATGCACGTCCCAGCGCACCGAAGCGTTCGACGCGAAGCGAAACCAACTCAAGTACATCATGGCGTACCATCGCGTGCCCAACGACGTCCAGCAGCGTGCGATCGATTACATAGTGGTACGACCCCTACTTTCTTTCTGCCATTTTTGTGGCTGACCGCCGTTTTCCACCACTCCTTTCATGGCTCGCAGCATGAACACAACACGGGCGAGGCGCTAGATCGGGAGTACTTGGCACATCTAACTCCAAGTATCGTACGCGACATCAAAGTTGCCGTGCACGAGAAGATGCTGTCCCAAGTCCCGCTGTTCCGACCATGCAGCCCCCATTTCATCCACGCGCTAGTGGCGCTGATGGATAGCAAGACCATGCCGGCAAACTGCGTCGTGTGCTGCGAGGGCGATGACGCAGATGCTATGTATTTCGTGCAGACGGGTGTTCTCTTGTTGACTAAAGCTCATGTCCGCGAGCCCAAGGAGCTTCGAAAGGGCATGTACTTTGGCGAATTTGGTCTCGTTGCTCCTCAAGTTCGTCACCACACAGGTACCGTCGGGATGGTATTGGATCGTGTTTGTCAAGTTCGTTTTAGTGACAACCGCCACGTACTGCATCTTAACCGTGTTGACGCGAGCCAATGCCGCCGTCGTCCTCGCCGCATATCCGCATTGGGCGGGAAAACTCAAAGATACCGCGGCGAAGCTGCTCGCGCTCGATACGCGACGGACAAGGCACCATCAAGATCTTGCCGACATCTCGCAAGTGGCCGCGGTCGGGGTCAAACGGTCCAAGTGGACACTACTCTTGGGCTGCCATACGATCCACCGCCACGGCGACATGCGGTTGGGATGGCTCGTTGGTCTTCAGCTCATTCAACTGTACCACGTGGTGTCCGTTCCACTGCACGTGTGCTTTCCAGCCATCCATTTTTCTGGAGCATCCACCGCGATCAACACCATCGTCGATGCGTGTCTGTGGCTAGACATGTATGCAAACCTGCACTTGAGCTACATCCAAGATGCCGAACACATCGTCGACGTTGTGCAGTGCGCGCGGCACTATCTCCACTCGACAGCACTTCTCCATTTGCTCTCGACTTTCCCGTGGTGGATTCTTGCCCCCAGCTACCCCGGGGCTGCGGTTCGGCTGCCTCGCCTGCTGCGGTATACACTCTCTCTTGCCAAGAGGACCACCGACGCAACGCATTGTATCGTAGGTTGTGGGATGTGTCGAGTCAACTGGACGAGATCTCGCACCACGTTACTTTGGACGGCCCCAAACGCACGGCTCTCCTCTGCCTCTTGCTCCTTGCCACGTACCACTTGACTAGTTGCATGTACTTTTGCATGACCGAGGTGGACGGATTCAGCTCTCGACCAGGCCAAGACTGGCTCCCTCCCGTTGCTTTCAAGTTGGCGCCGTGGAACGCCACGCACATGGTCGACGGTCTGAATGAAACCCACGAGATCGGGTCGCCATCTTACCGCAACATCACGTGGAATCAGTACTCGCACTCGTTTTACTACGCCGCGTCCGTGATTACGTCGCTCGGGCGCGGCATCGAGCCAGACACGGTCCATCAGTACATGTTCCACTACGTGTTTATGGTGTTCGGGTTCATCTTTATGGCGTACATCATCGACGAGGTCCAGAAAGGCATCACGGCGTCGGCCGTCGAACAAGTCGCGTTCCTCAGCCGCCGGGCCAACATCCTTTGGTTTCTCCAACAGCAGCATGTGCCACCCCACATCCACCGACGTGTCAACTCGTTCTTGGAGTTTTGGTGGAGCGCACACCGAGGGGCTGATATCAACGCGCTACTCTCGCCGCTTCCCCTCCAAACGCGGCGAGACATCCTGTCCCACGTCTGTCATGCCGTCCTTGCTCGCTTTCAGCTTCTTGGTCAAGTCACCAACGACCCTATAGCGGGGGCCGCGTTGTTTGGCAACCTCTCGGCCGCATTCCTCGACGCAATTCACATTCGCCTGTACGGCCAAGACGAAACCATCTTCACCGCGGGGGACTATGCCAATGGCATATACTTTCTCGTGGAAGGACGTGTGGTTGCCGACATGACGCCACCATGCCGTGTTACAATCGGCATGCCCTTTGGCCTGGCAGCGCTTGACGTTGGGTCGCCCGATGCTATCTATTACAAACACACGACAGTGGCTCTCAGCGGATGCATCGTCGCGTTTCTGTCGCAAGGAGGCATCTCAACGCTGCTGCAGCTCATGCCGACCTTTGTCGATGAACTGCAGACAAGGGACCTGCGAGCTGCATCCCAAACACAACTGGTTCCCTCGGTACGGTGGCCAACATTAGCCACCAACTCTGCCGCACATCTCCACAAGTCTGCCATCGACCCCGACGCACCCGTCGTGATACTATGGGAGCTCTGCACGTTTGTTGGAATGAGCTACCAATGCATTGGGGTGCCATTTCGCATGGCGTTTGGGCGGTCCGCCGACGTTTCGTCGACTGACAGCGTTGTGATGGCCCTGGAAGTTTTCTTCTTGCTCGACATGGTGCTGCGGCTGCATTTAGGGTATAAAGAAGAGGTCGATGGATGGCCTGTTACTTGATTCTTGTAGGTACTACGAATACGGCAACAAAGTGATGGACCCGCGGTTGATTCGACAGCGGTATGTGAAGTCGTTGGCTTGCGTCATGGACGTGCTCGCGATTCTTCCGTTGCAACTCGTGAATTGGGCGGCATCGAGCGATATACGGTCCGAGTCGTGGAACGCCAACAAGCTCGTGCGTATGTACAAACTGTCGTCGATGCTGTCGCGGTTCGAGCAGCGCTTCGTCACGCTCAACATCCACGTTCGGATGTTCCAGCTCCTGTTGTACACGTTTTTCCTAAGCCACTGGGTCGGATGCATCTGGTTCAACTTTGCGTCGAACGAAACCAACCTCTCGACCAGCACCGCGTTCGGGCTGAATTCGTGGCTCCCGCCAGCGTCGCTCCAAAACAAAACGGTCACATTCCAGTACTACGCCACGTTGTTTTGGGGCTTTGGGACCATGTCGGGGTGTTCGCCTCGCAACCTGCCCACGACGACCGTCGAGCGCTTCTTCAACGTGTTTGGCATCCTCTGTGGGGTCTTTTTGTTTTCGTACGTGCTGGGCAACCTCGCCGACATTGTCAAGGTTGTGGACGGTCACAACCGAGCGTTCTACGCCAAGCTGAGCACGCTGCGGCTCTTCTTAACCAAGTACCGCTTTCCGCCCAAGATTGAGGACCGCATCAAGCACTACTACTTTTACCAGACTTTTCACTCGATCCATCAGGAGTCGATCCTGAGTGCGTGCTTGCCGCCGTCACTCGTTACAGACACCCGCATGTTCCTTCTGCAGCCCATCATGGATCAAGTTGCGTTTCTCCAAGGCACGGACCCCCACAGCCGTCAAGCGATTCGCATGGTCGTGTCGCTTCTCGTGCAGCAGCTCATTCCCCGCGGGAAAGTTATTTGCAAACAAGGTGACATCGGCCTCGAAATGTTTTTCGTCTATGCAGGATGTTTGGATGTCCTGGTGACAGAAACCATCCGTGCGCCGTCGTCAAGGCCCAAGCTCGCCGCGTCGCCGTCGATTCGAACGCAGAGGATGGAATCGGTCATTCAAATGTTCCAGCGCGCGACCAAGACGGCGCCAACCCCTCGTCCCCTTCAAAGCGGATCCGTCAGTATGCGGTTCAGTGACGCGTCGTCCATGCTCCAAGCAACGAATGGCACGATCCACGTCAAAGTGAACGAGATCCTACCCGGGAGTTTCTTTGGCGAAGCGTCGCTCTTCTCCGACAAACCACGCAATGCCAACATCCAAGCGCGGACGTTCTGCACTGTGTACACTTTGTCAAGACAGCACTTGCACGCTGTGTTCAAGCTTCATCCGACGTGGAAGGAGTCGGTGCTAAACACTGTCAACGGGTACCAAAAAGATCTCCAAACGAAAACCATCGTTGCCAAGGTGACCACGACTCTCGCGGCTTCCGTCAAGGAAAATCGTCGGCGATCATCTGCTGTTGCCACGGTGGCGAACGTTGCCCGCAAAACCAGCGCGTCCTTCACCGCGGTCCTGGACGCACTCTATCCAAAAACCACCACCACTGTCACGACTCGTTCCATCAGGTACGACGAAACAACACCGTTCACCTGACTGGTTCGTAGGTCCGTCGCCCGCCGCCTCATGCGAATTGAAGTCCAATCTTCCTTGTACATTCGATGGCTCCAAGTGTTGTCCGTGTGCATCGTGTACCAAGCTTTGTACGTTCCGTACACAATCTGTTTCAACGTTGCGATCGAGTCGACGGCAGTCATGCGCGCCTCGATCCTGCTCAATATCGTGACCGATGCTGCGTTTGCATTTGACATTTGGTTTCGACTACACCTGGTCGCGAACGACACGTCACTCGAGTTTTACGAAGGCGCGATCGCCGGGCGGGGTAGCTACCGATGGCCAGCCAAGGCTGTAGACGTGTTATGCGTGCTGCCCCTTGACTACGTCGGCTACGCAGCCATCGACGCCGCCATCGGACGCCACGCGTTGTACTTTCTCCGTCTGAATCGGTGCGCGAAACTCGTACGACTTCCCCATGCCCTCAGCGAAATCACTCGGCTGTCCCTCGCCAACGACGTGAATTTTCTTCGAAAGCTCGTCGCTGTATACCTGTGCATCATCTACTGGGTTGGGTGCCTCTATTTTTGCCTCACGTACGTCGATGGGTACGGCGACGACTGGCATTCGTGGCTCCCAGTCAAGGACTTTGAAGCGGCGCACACGGCGGCCAACGACATCCATCGGCTCCTCCGTGCCATGTACTTTTCAACGGGCATCTTCACCAATACAGGCGCGTCTGCCTTTCGTTCGTCACAACTCACGGCTGCAGTAGGGGTGACGCTACTCCCAACAACCGTCTACGAGTATGTTTTTGTCATCGGTGTCTGCCTCTGCTGCCTCTTCCTGACGTCCTACTTCATCGGGCAAGTCTCGACCATGTTTGTGTGTCTGACGCAGCACGAAGTCGAGTTTCGCATCCATGAAATGTACACTGAGTCGTACATTGGTCGCACGCCGCTCAAGACGAGTCTCCGTCTGCGCCTGTACAAGTTTCTAAACTACTGGTGGCATGCACATCGAGGGGTCCGTCATGACGACATTTTGCAAGAACTGCCGCCGGAAATCAAGGGCCACGCGATGGTGTTCATGGCGCACAACGCATTGACGACGTTTGTCACGACGTTCTTCGCGCCGCTGCGCGCTGAGCCTGGCGAACTCGACATGGTAAGTCCGCGTCTTGTTTGCTGTCTTTCATAGTTGGCGACCGTTGCTTCTAGCAAAGGTATGGAGTGGTTGCCATTGACGAGTGTTGTCGTAGTTACGATTTCGCATTGCATGCGGTCTGCGTTTGGAGATATACCCCCACGATGAGTACGTGATCGTCGAAGGTGACATTGCAACGACCATGTACTTTGTCGTGTCGGGCAGCCTCCTCACGACGCATCACAACAACTCGACCGCGATCCATCGATACCGTGAGGGCCACTTCTTCGGCGAGACGAACTTCCTGACGGCACCGTGCGCGCCAGCGTCGGTCAAGACGTTGCGCGCGTGCGAGCTCTTGGCACTGCCAGCGACCGGTCTCGTGGACGCGATGGACGGGGTGCCGCACTTCAAGCAAGCGTACCAAACGGTGGTGGAAATGTACGGAGGTGGAAATAAAGACGACGTGGCCATTGAATCGATTGGGGCGAAGCTGAAGTTTATCCACCCTACGTTCTTACACGGAACCGTGCCGACGACCGACCGCGACTACTGGGACGCATTCCGCAGGTTTCTCCATTTGGTGCACGTGTCACACGCCAAGGAGATCGAATTGGATGCATCGGCGGCGTACAAGTTTCTGGACTGCTCGTGCTGTCATGGCGCGGTCGCCACCATCATGTGTCCGATCTGTCGAGCCAACTTCTGCACCGGGTGCAACTTCCTCGTGCACCTCAACACGGAGCGTGAAGCTCATTTGGAAGAAACGAAGCCGATCCATGCCGCGCGCCGACTTTTTATCATGTACTATTTCGCCAAACGATGGAAGTTGCGTGCCCAGCAAGCAATTGCAGCTCGCAAGGCCAAGTTGGGACAGGACGGCCCGCCGACGTCGGTCAACGAACACGACTCGCGTGCAGAGATGTGCCAGCTACTTGAAACAGGCTTCGTCTTTAACACTCCCTCCGATGCCGACGACAAAGATGCTGCAAAGAAGAAGCACAAGTTGCAAAGTGGAAGAAGCGAGCCCGGCAAAAGGACTTGGCGGCCGCGATTGCAAGCAAGTCCAAGCGCATCGCATGGGCGCACATCGAAACGTTCAGGAAACATGAAGCCAGGGCACATATCCAGTCCCAGCATGTCGGATATTCCGTTGAACTCAGCGGCAGTGCGCCCGGTTGCTCACGTCCGAAATCCCCGAGTACCCAGGGAACGTGCTCCCCCGGCGGAGCAATCGCTTCCTTGACGGGTGGTCCATCGGCAGCTTCGACTACCTGAGGGTTCCTAGGAATGGTCCATTGTGATTGGTCAGTTCATGAATGTATGGTTTTGATTGGCCATTGCCACCTTGCAACATGACCAGCCGCCGAGGTGTCCTGGCGCTCACCACGCTCTTCCGGCTGCCGCATGAGGGCATGCAAGCATTCGAGGTGCTCAGCCGGTACTGGCATGGTTTCGACATAAAACGAATCTCATGTGATCATTGTGGCGCTGTAGAGGATCTGCCATGTTGGTGCATCGCACTGGGGCCAAGCGCAACCCCACACACGTCCACGTCCTCACTTGCGCACACGTTGCGTGTCCGTGGCGATATTCTTCATACTATCCGCACGACTGGCTTGAACACGTCGACGAAAACTTCGTGAAGCATACGTTGGCACTGCGAGAGGTAAGATCTACGCATTGTCTCGACAAACACGCACGCGATCGACTCCTCTCATCCTCGTTTCAGGTCGGGTCAGGCGCGACCAAGTGGGAAGTGGACCTTTTGCCTCATACACTCGTGCATCCCACCCGGTAAGGAAGACACACGGATCGCCTTGGCATGATGGACATATCGTGTAGAGATCTCGCTCTCCTGGAGCTTCAGTCGTCGATTCTCACGAACGACGATTCTGTGGACCCATTCGACCTCGACACAGCGTTCGCCGTCGCCGAGAACGAGCCGCTGGAATTTCATGGACACATTCAACTCAACGAAACGGCGCCCATCTTGCCCGAATCCGTTGCAGGTGCTTACTTTTGGCTCAACCCGACCACGAAACAAGCGTTTGCATCGAGCGAAAAAGTGCTGGCCCAGGGCATGTGCGGCGGGGCTGCCTTCACGAAGCAGGGACGAAAAGTCGTGGGGCTCATCGAAGGCATTGTTCCCGTGGTGGAGAACGCGTCGCCCGCGTACAAAACTCTCGAAAATCACGTCGCTGTCATTCCTCGAGACGACCTGGCAGACTTTGTAGTCAACTTCGAGGCTGGAAGAGCCACGTCGGATCTGCTCTTCACGGGCACTGCATTGTACGACTAACTTGAATGCAAGCTCGCCATTGTTTCCTGGGGCTTGAAGAACAGTTCCCGGGCGACGACAACGTTCCTGAAACAAAAGATGCGATCCGTTATGTTATCTCCAGCTTGATGTGCTCGTCAACTTCGATTCATTTGGTACGACACCCGTCGTGTGCTCTATGGGCACGGACCCTCGATCAAGTTGAACTGGATAAAACTGGAGGAACTATCTTGATGGCGCTTCGACGATCCACCATGCGGGTCGTCGACCTGTTCGTGACCATACACTTCCAGGTTCTCGACCCACACGAGCACAATGCAGATCCACTCAAATCCTGTGCCCTCTTCATTACGACCTGTTCACCCCTCGCCGTCCTTCTCAACGAAAGCACGTGATGTGCTTCCCGTGGAGTCGCGGCAACAATCGGACTCTCGCGATGGGTGAATGCGTACTTAAACGAGTCTTGGCGGCCACGACGGTAAAACTCTAAAACGCTTGCGTTATTTAAATTGGATGTCGCGTTCATGCTGTATTCACTATAGTTTGCATATAAAACGCAATGCAGTGAATAGAACGTCTCGGTCAAAACAATACTTCGTGTGGGAGGATTTCAATCACGAGAAAAGAATGGCGTTGGCACAACAAGCAGACGCCGAGATGGCGGCATATCGCACGCTTCAAGAAGAGGTATGTGTCCTTGCTTGAGGATTCCTCTTTGATGGAACGTGGCATGTAGGTGAGCGTCCTTGCGAACCAGAGACAGCTTTTCGCCCAACAACAGAATGAGAACAGCATGGTCAAGCAAGAACTGGACTTGCTTGCGGACGGGGCCAAGGTATTCAAGTTGGTCGGGCCCGTCTTGCTCAAGCAAGATACGGCTGAAGCCAAGTCAAACGTGACAAAGCGTTTGGAGTTTATCCAAAAGGAAATGGAAAAGGTCGAGAAGAAGTTGGCTGCAAAGGAAGAGGAGGCTGTGAAAATTCGTCAAAACATCGCGTCCATCCAAATGCAAATGCAAAAGAACGCTGCGGAAAGCGCTGGCACTGCGGCTGCCCAGGCGCAAGCACAACTCGGCCGTTAATTGATAATGCGATCGCAACGTCGTGGGTGGGATTCATTTTCGTTCGTTCTCGCTGTTGATTCTGTCCAGCAGTGCGTTCAATGGCTCGCCGAACAACGCTGCATTCAGCAACTCAAACTTGAATCGTATCGATGGATATCCTTCGGCATCATGGCGGACGTATCCAAGTTGGCCTCCGTAGATATATGGCCCCTGAACACACATCCATGCGCCGTGAGGTCGTGGGGAGGTACACATTGCATCTTCCACCTGTGCAAATCGAAAAAAGAGCAAACATGGTTTATCATGACGCTGCAAGGATGTGTCATTGTCGGTGGCTGGAGCTGCGTTGGAGCGAGGTCCAAGGAGGAGTTGCTGAAGGACTGGATGGTCTTCCGCGAGGGAGCTCTGTGTACCAAGGAGGTCGAAGTGAGCAACGGTGATGGAGCGAAAAGCAGCGCACCCGCGCAAACCAGTAGACGAAGAGCGAGTTGTTCTCGCGCTCAAACGTGTTGGTGTATCTAATGACGGGTCATGCGGATCTTGTGACTTGAACGGGACAAACTCTACCGACCTGTCGTTCAAGTCAACGTTGATAAAGATCACCATTGCATTCGTCCACACTTGGTGGCTCTGCAGCAGCGAGAAGCGAGGATGGTATCCTGGACACAGCCACATCATGGTCGCGAGTTTTCCCACGGGGTACAGTGCGTGCCCGACATAGCTGTCGGATGGGACGACGAGGGTCAACTCTTTGCACGACTTGCCCGTGATGGTCGGTTCCGTCACGATCGTGTGAGGCGGTACGCCGTCGAGAATCACCGAGTAGGGCTGTGCATCCGTATATTCATGACCCATACGATTCGTCATTGCATACGATACCTTGAGAGATTGTTGCTTCCGGGCTGTTTCTGCCATGTCGAGGCCGACATTCTTGGGCGTAGTTACAATCTATGGATGTGTCCATCAACCTTTTGGGCATGTGAAGGAAGCAGGGTGGTCCATGGGTGTTCGTACTTGGTTTCGCTCCATCAAGCTTGTAGTGCGTGGTGGTGGGAAGGCAATCGAATATGTTGCTGGCTTCTGACGCAACATCTTGACTCGTTTTGATTGTCGTTGCCCAAACTTTTCACTTGGGGCTTCGTCATAGCCGAACCGCGTCCTTTCTACCGGAGCTCGAGTCGACCTCCGAACAGGACCATCGACGACCTTCTTCGTCCATGCATTCTTCTGTGGCTTGGCGTCTTGCTTTGCCTCTATCCCCAGCGACTCCAGCATCGCTTTGTTTCGCTCAATCTTTGCCCTTCGCTCTTCTTCGTACTCGGACAGCACTGTCATCGCCGTCACTTATGCCCGCGCAAACTTTCGTTCAAGATGGCGGCCATGTTATCATTTTCCAAAAGTCCTCTCTAATATAATAAAATTTGCCAACTGAACTTGAAAATGCAGTCGCTCAAATTAGCTCTTCGAGCTCGTTCAAATATCATTTCTGGAAATTCACAAAGGGACACACTCAGAAGTTTGTAAGCTCCACTGCCACTCGGTGCAGCGCCGAATGGAGTTCAAACATTCTCGTTGGAATATCCTCTAGCACTTGACGAATATCTGCAAGTGGTGCTGATCGCAAGGTGGTCGATATTCTTTATACTTTCTCTAATAGACGACGAAACCCGAGTGTGATGGACGAGTCGGTACTGTGTTGGGCCCATTTTCGCCTGAAGTCGTCGCCGCCAAATAAAATCTCTCCGTTGATACTGACAAGTATGTCGCCAGGCTGGATCAGGCCACACGCTTCAGCAGGGCCAGTATAGAATTGCGTCGGCTGTCGAAAGGCCACAACAGATACACGGAATTTGACAATGCCCAAGTATATGCAATATCCATGGACCCCTCGCTTCAACGTGACAGAGAATTCGTGGACGCGGCGTTTTGGAGCGTCCAGACCATTTTCTTTCATGATTCGTTTGTTCTTTTCCTACAGGGCGAACAATGGATGAGCCTCAAACTTGAAGGATTCACGTTTGTACGTACGTTGTTTGAGAATGTTGTGTCCGTCCGTGAATTTGGTCCCAGTAGCCGCATTTGTCGTTTCCTGAACAACTTTTGCTGCTGTGCGTGGTTCCTTGTTATGATCCTGGCGTCGTGGTACAGCACGTGCATCCGCCTCTTATCGAACTCATGTTTCATGTTCTTCTCCACTCGAAGAGACCGCCGCAACGGACTTTCTGGCGACTTTGTGGTCATCCTTCGGTGCTCGAAGGTGCTCATGGGATCAGCAACCCGGGGCGACGTCGCGATGCTTGTGACTGTCCTTTCCTGTGACTCCGAGGTGGAAGAAGGATTACATGTCGCACCACTCTTCGGTGCCGGTTGTGGTTTCTCAAGGCCCAGTGATATTAGCATGGCTTTGTTGCGCGCGATTTTCGCTGCGCGCTCTTCCTCGTACGAAGACACGTATGCGGCCATGTCGACCAAAGGCGAATTGTCACCTCCACGAATCGTCTTCGCGCCAAGTAAAATTCCATCATATTTCAGAGGTATTGCCACCAGATAATGTACTTGGTTGGCGGATCCTCGAATCGATTCGGAATCGACCGACTGTCAGTCCATTGTACTATCTTTGGACAACTTTGTGTTGATTGGCTAAAATCTTCACAAAATTTGTTTTTGTTGGCTAAAAGTGCCTCAAATCGTTTGTTTCGTCGGTCCGATTGGGCAGGCCAGTCCATTTTTGAATCGACTTGACCGAGTTTCGGATATACCCCTGTTACCTGATATTGTACGGATAAAAACTGAACGAAAGTGTCATCAATGAAGCGGTCCGTTGGGGCAGGCACGTCGACCGGCACGGGCATGTCCACACGGACCCGGAGTCCAGAGCGCAACGATGATGGTGATAATCACAAGCGTTGCCGCCTTTCTAACTTGACGTCGAATAAGAAATCGCTGAACTCGACCCCCCACGACATCACGTCAAGGAGAAGCATAGGGACGGCGAAGACACATACTAGCCAAATGATGCAACGCGAGACTGACGAACGCAAACTCGCTCAACGCCAAAAGCAGATCGACTTTGGCAAAAACACAATTGGCTATGATCGATACCTTCAGAGTGTTCCCAAGTCCGTGATCCTTTTCTCGTGTGGTAATTCTGTTCTCAAGTTCCGTGTAGAACATCACGACAATTTGGAGTGCATCCTTCCACTCCAGACAAGTATGCTGTGGCTAGCAAGCGCGCATGGGACGGCCGAATCCAAGCATGGCGAAGGCATTTGCATTTGTATGACCCCGAAGCGACCACCCCAGCTCCTCGATCCGCTTCCTCTGCACCCCCCATGACTGCTGTTCCTTCCCATGACACTGCAACAACACGACAGTCAGAATCAGCACTTCCTCGGGCGACTTCTTCACAAGCTCCGGCACCTCGCACCGTCCAAGCTTCTCTTTTCGATGCATTTGACGACGATACTAAAGCCCCATCCGAAATTGTCGACGAAGACGACTTGCTGTAGAAGTGGAATGTTCAAGTGAACATGGCGAATCGATCGTTGGTGGAAGATGCCACTTCGGAGACGCTCAAACTCAATCGTTCACGTCGAGTAAACTAGCGACGTGTGGTCGAGAGTCGAAACATTCCTCTACGAGGGATGCTGCGTGGGCCTGGGTGTGTGTTACAATGTTTTATAAAAGGCTGCACGATGCCATGGACCCACACTTCGACGCCATGCTCCAAGAATTGCAAAGTAGAGAGTGTCACGCATGCGTCGGCATGCCTGTGGGACTCGGTGCTTGGCTGTACACTCAGTTGGTCGCAGTGTCCGAGATGATACGTACAACGGCTGTCTCGAATGAAAAAATCGCTTGATGCCACCAACCAAACGCGTTGGCAGGTTACGTTGACGACATGAAACGTCAAGAGGACGACCTGCAAAATCGCAGCGAGACGCTGAGTCCGCTCTTGAGCAGCGGGATAAACTGTTTGAACCCGGCAGGACCACCAATTAACGCGCCGTCGACCGCAATCAGTTCGTCGCCAATCGAGATTTTCCCACAGGCTTCGGCGGGTCCTTGAACGCCGAGTATCGGGCGACGAAACCCCATTACTTTGACTGTTTTCCCATCCGTCACGTCAAAGTCAATGCAAAGCCCATCCGTGCCTTTCCCCAGGTGCACTTCGTACGTCACCATGCGCCTTCTTGGAGGCATCAAGAACCTTTTCGCTTTTGGTTCTTCGGGCGAATGGATCGATCCGCGTCGTCGAACGAGCTCTCGATGGGGCTTTGGCCCAGCCGAAGGGGGTGTATGCGGACGAATTGTAACCAGACACGGCCGCGATGCCACGTCTGGAACTGCCGTCATTCGGTTGTCGTCTGAGCCTGATGGATGCGGCGGGACGTCGCGACGCCACGGTTCAGGACTTTTGCAGGGGTGATTCAGTCGCGCAACCAATCGAAGATTGCGACTCGAGTTGTCGTGCAGCTGATTCTTCACATCACGCTGTGTTTGCGGCAGCAGTTTGATTTGGGAACGGCGTGCAAGTACCGTCCGTCCTGTAATCGTTGAACCCTTCAGCCTGACAACCAGCCTAGACGACTGGACCATGCTAGTATTCGAGTGCTTGCGATAGGCGGCATCGTCGTCGTCACTGTCTTCTTCGGCGTCTTCGCTGAGCTTGTTCAACTCATTTTCACTCGCTTCGTCGACACTCGACTCGCTCGACAGGGCTTCGCTGCTTCCGTCATCGCTCTCGCTGCTGGAATCGACATGGTCGTCGGAGCTAGAAATGTAGTCCTCTTGAATAGTGCTGGAAATTTGCGTGGTCTTGATATCACTTGCCCAATCGCGAGAGGCTGCTACGAGGCGCTTGAGGTCGTTGGGAATTTTCAGCACAACGACATTTCGCTGCCTTTCGTCGGCCATTTTTCTCAGTCGCGTCTTTTTATGCTGCAGTTGCTTGAGCTCGAGCTTTGCCGCCGCTCGCTGCTCCCTCGCGAGTCGCTTCTGTTCTTCCAGGATACGTTTGGCCATGCGAAGTTGAGCTTTTTCTTCCAGTTGCATCTGGCTCAGCTCACGTCGCTCGTTCCTTTTGTGCTGACGAAGCTTCTTCACCAGTTGCCTCTGTTCGTGTTCGATTCGCATTTCGTCATCTTCCATGCACTGGAGTATCCTTGCCCGCACTTCCGTCACAATGTCAACCCGCGACGACCGCCTGCGTGGCTCCAATACTTGCTTCTGAGGCCTTCCAACTGCTGTCTTCTTCACACTCTTGTCGATGCCCAAGGACGCGAGCATTGCCTTGTTCCGAGCAATGTTGGCGTCCCGGTCTCGTTCATACGTCGACATCATCTCGTCAGCCCAACTGGCGCTCCCTTTCGTCATGACAAGCGCCTTTGGATACAATATGGTGAAATCGAACTACATTACCGGATATTTACCCGGATGCAGTGGCGACATGGAATTAGCATTGCAGCGCGGACGTCGCAGGCCATCCCACGAAGCTTCACGCCCTGGAACAGCATGAAGAAACCCGACGCATGGACATACACATGCACATGGGAGCATTGAGAATGGAATTGTATTGACAAGCATAGGTGGTTCGTTCAAGCGGCCATGGTGGTCTTGATGAATTCCCGTCGTAGTTTCAACGCATCCAGGAACAATTGTGTGTCCAAGCCATCAACGTTCCGTCCAACGCGTGCGCGCAACTGCATTTTGCCCTGTGAACAGTCAGCTCCAAGTCGTGGCAGCACAGCGTTGTCATCGTCGATGTCAACCTACCTCGTTGGTGTATGTTTCACCGATAAACTGATACAACGACCCAACAGCAAAATCAAAATTCACAAGCAGATCAGTGGCCACGACAATGACCGAGTTTTGGAAAGACAGGGTTGCCAGACACTTTGATGCATCGTACATATCGAGCCTACAAGAGACCGAATGGTGATGTCGGTACCCACGTGGGAACATACCATCCAGTGATGCGCACGGAGCGATGCGGCACATTGTCGCGGAGGACTTCTTCGATGTGAACGATTTCGCCAGCCGCCATCATGGTCGAGTTGCTTGAATTGTGATCTGCCGCGTCCTTTGCATTCCCGCAGTCCGGATAAACTCTATACAAACATTGAGACAACGTTGCGTTCGGATACAGGATCTGCAAAGACATTCTTAACCTCCAGAGTA